TTAGTTTTATTATTGTCCCACAATTATAATAACAGATAATCATAAATTGAATTGTAATTGAGGTCGGCCTATAACAATGTGTTTATAAGGTATTTTTCGGTGTTGCAAAACCGGAAAGTGGGCCGACTGCGACTGTTGTAATTCAGAGTATCGTTAGTCATTTGACAACTATTGTGCGATTACTATTACTTTTATTTTTAATAAACTAATTAATTATTCGGCAATACTATTTTATTTTATTCTATTTGTTACTCTCGTAACACAGGCGTTGAGTTCCATCCTTGAGGAAGTCCCGTTTCTTGTGCTATTAACTAGAGATTTTTGCTTGTCCGATTAAATGGGTGGTCTGGGTTTGTAGATGGAAGTGCCCACTACCACCCTGACTCCAATCTGTTCGCCGGAGACAGATCCGCTCGGAAGTGAAACAAGAGATCTTTATTTGACATTCGTTATTTAGTAGTCGTAAGATATAACCTATATAATAAATGTGATTTTTATAATACCAAAAATACAAATGATATTTCATGATAAAAAATCATGTTATCACGTGTTTCAATATTTCATAAGCAAACATTTAAGATTTATTTTATTTACTTTTATAAGTATAACCTGTTTGCCGATACGCATATTTTACTTCAAATACTTAAAAATTATGACAGTTTAACAAAAATTTGTATTACGGCTTATAAAAAAATTGTTAACACTTAAAATATAAATGGTAAGTAAAATTTTACATACCTAGACATGTAAATCAATTAAATAAATTAACTATAAAATAGATTAAGTTGTATAAAAATGATGAAATNCTATAAAATAAATTAAGTTGTATAAAAATGATGAAATTAAATGTTAATAATCTAATAATTAATTACTTTGTAAAATGATCATACAAAAAAATCCAGCACAGTGGGGTCGCGGCATAGTGGGGATGTTGCATAGTTAGGACCAGCATAGATTTAATCTGACAGTGATTAAAATCACTACCATAAGAAACGCTTCGATGCAAATTTGTAGATAGTGTTTAATTTAAAAAAATTGATGGACAAAAGCAACATCAACTTATATTTCCTTAATTATACCCAGATCAGCATTTCTTTTAATTATATATTATATAATTTTTAAAATTAATTGTTTTCAAATTATTATTGATATTGATTTTTAATATGTTAAAAGTAATAATTTTGAACCTACTTTTTTTTGTCCTTTAAAGTGAAAGTTTTAATAAAACAAAAATGAATTTATTACCATAAATTTTAGCTCAACTTGCAAGTTTGAAATTGACATAATTAAATAGAAAAAAAAGAAAATGTTAAGATTAATAGGGTCAAGAGGGGTAATTGTGAATAGGGGTAATTGTAAATGAGGCTGGTATTCTAATAAAATTAATAAATTATAACCATCGAACTCGATATAATTATTATTTAATATTTTTTCTCCCATCAATCATATTTATTACAGTATTTTAGAGGTTATGTCATTTGTATTATCATTTAGAAAAAGTGCACTGAAAAAACATTCATTTACATTTACCCCAATATCAAAGGGGTAATGGTAAATGTCTATGGTNAACATTTACCCCAATATCAAAGGGGTAATGGTAAATGTCTATGGTAATTGTAAATTACGCTGTTTTAGATTTGAAATTAAAAATTTACTGAAACTACATTAAAACTATATTTATTATGTCCACTAGTACATATGTATAATAATATAATAAATGTTTATGTAAGTAAACAGTCATAAATACAAGTTAAAAATCACTTTGATAGAATCATTTACAATTACCCCACCTGACCTATGCAATCAGGCAATTTTATAATTACTATTTACAGTAAATTTATCAGAAAAGTTCGATTTTTCTTACATTTTTATTGTATTAGATCACTTAAATAAAAATCAGAGTAATCATTATTAATTAACTTTTGGTGTTTAAAAAAATTCTACAATGGAAATATTCCAAATTTAATTAATTATAATGATTATATAACTAAAAAAACCAATAAAAAAAAATTTACTGAATTGAGCGTATTATAATATTTGAAAATAATTGTAAAAATCCATCGTTAAATTCAGGTAAAATAAAAATCATTTTTTTTTAAATTTATGATTTATATAGCAACATATTACAAAAAAATGTGGAATGTTATAGACTGGTAGTAGCACACACAAATAGAGATACAAAATTAATAAATTACAAAGTAAAATTATTTACTTTTGTAGTTGAAAACTTTTATCATATCAAATCTAATTCGACAATAAATACTTTAAGAATATTAGAAATTAATGATTTTAATTGTTTGTATGGAAAAAGCTGGTTACGCTACTTTTTATTTGAATAAATAATATTTTTTCGATTTTCAAGAGTAATAACTTAAACAAAATACGAATTGTAATCATTTGACGTATCGTTGAAAAAAGTAGATCTAGTGAGGGTTGGCAAAATAAATCGTAGCCACAAAAAGACCCATATAGTAAAATAATATTAACATGAATATAAATTTCTTCTCACGAGGGGAGACTATAGTGATAGAATACTTTCTATCTATTGAAGTTATTGAATCTAAATGAGATAAATATCAAATGATTTGAAAATTCTATTCTAACTCAAAAAAAAAATCAAAATATTAATTGCCACAGATAGATTTGAACCTCGTACCCTAAGCGTGAAAGACTCAGGTGTTATCCATTCGGCAACTGTTCGTTGCTGTTGTTGCATGATAAAATTGACTATTTAAGCTAACTCAAATTTAAAAATTACTTTTTCGACTTTAAAAAGGTAAAAAATTTTTTATAAGTTTAATTTCTTATGTCTTATGAACTTTGTTCTATGTCAATTAAATTATAAAATATTCATGAAAGTTAGTTTATTGCCCTTATAAGATATTTAAAAAATAAAATACAAAACCTAGCATTTTAATAGAAAAATAGCATATTTTTGAATACGGTGCCATTTTCGCATAGAAGATAGGTCGTCGGGACAATTTTTTTTTTCATTTTATAGTACATGATATAAGCTTTAATTTGACATATGTTTAAAGGACGTAGTATTTCCGGAACATTTTCAAAAGTTAAGTTGAAAAAGTTAGTTTTTGTAAAAAAGTTGCTATTTTAAATCCCCTCAGTGAGCAGAATAAGTGATAGATTTTCAACAAAAATGATATAAAATGAAAGGGGAATATCTAAGATTTCAATATAAAAAAATCTTATTTTGATTTGTTAATATTTGAAAAAGTTATGTGAGTTTTAAGTACAAAAAACATCCTGATAGAAGGTGACTTTTATCGCAAACATTATATATTTTTTTTAATTTCGTCAGCCATTTGCACAGAAGATAAGGTATCTTGACAAATTTTTTTTTTCATTTTATAGTATATAACATAACTTTTGATTTGATATATGTTTAAAGGACGTAATATTTCCGGAACATTTTCATAAGTTCAGTTGAAATAGTTCTATGTTTTATACAATGTTTCAAGTTTTGAACGCCCCCTATATAAGGGAAAATTGTCCAATTTTCATAAAAAGTATGGCAAATAAAAGATGTACTTATAATGTATTTAGAAAAAAAATTTTTTTTTGAAAATTTAAAATCGAAAATTTTAACACAAAAATAGCGTTTTTTTAACTACGGAAACCGTTTACATGCAGAAGATAAAGTGACGGGACAAATTTTTTTCGTTCATTTTATAGAACATAAAATAAGCTTTAATTTGATATATGTTTAAAGGATGCAGTATTTCCGGAAAATTTTCAAAAATTAAGTTGAAAAAGTTAGTTTTTGTAAAAAAGTTGCAATTTTAAATCNCAGTATAATGATATCTGACAGTGATTAAAATCACTATCAAAAAAACGCTTCGACGCAAATCATTAGATAGTGTTTAATTTTAAAAAATTTTCGGATTATTCCAAAAGCTACATGATCTGCTAGTTCTATATTAATATCCTGATTAAGATAAAGTATGTCGAATGAAAAAGGTATTATTAAAAAATATCATTTCTCATAAAAAAATAATGTTGATCCATACACTTTTCAATAAGTTATAGCATTATAAAGTTAAAAATTAAATAAATAAAATCGAGAATTTTCACACAATAATAGCATTCGGTAACCATTTTCACCGTGAAGACAAAATAAAGTTCGAAATTGTGTGCATTACATCAGCTTTAATTTAAGAGATATATATATAAGTGTCAGATTTTTCGGAACATTTTCAAAAGTCAAGTTGAAAATATTAATTTTTTGTGAAAAAGTTGTCATTTTAAATCCCCTCCTGTGGGCAGGTAAAGTGTCATATTTATAAAAAAAATATACCAAATTATAGGTGAAGACATCATGCATACATAAAATATCTGCTTCTATATTTTAAAAAAAAAATTATATTTTTTTGGTTATTTTTAAAAAAGTTATGGCAATTTTAAGTAAAAAAATTGAAAAAATTTCGAAAATTAGCGATTTTTAAATTAGTAAATTAGCAAATGGGGGAAATATCCAAAAAAATTACAAATTTAAAAATCAGTAAATTTTCGAAATTTTTTCACTTTTATTTCTTAAAACTTCCATAACTTTTTCAAAAATCAAAAATTTTTTATACTAAAACCTTAGATATTTCCCTTTCATTTGATATCATTTTTTTTTTTGAAAATCTAACACTTATTCTGCTCACAAGGGGGATTTAAAATAGCAAATTTTTTACAAAAACTAACTTTTTTAACTTAATTTTTGAAAATGTTCCGGAAATAATGCGTCCTTTAAACATATGTCAAATTACAGCTTATATCATTTACTATAAAATTAAAAAAAAATATATGTCCCAATGGCCTATCTTCTATGCGAAAATGGCACCGTATTCAAAAATATGCTATTTTTCTATTAAAATGCTAGGTTTTGTATTTTATTTTATTTTAAAATTAATTAAATTCTATTTCTAATTAATAGTATACATATACGTCCGGCTGTCGTCAAACATAGGAATGTGCTGACCAAGGGTTTTAGGGCAACCATGGGCAAAGGACTCCCAGTGTAGGTACCCTACAGTCAGTCGTGGTTTAGTATGCGCTAGTTACACTCATTCTATATCATTCTATTTTATTATTCTATTTGTGAATTTTGTAATTTTGTATGTTTTCACAAAAATATATCAAATAAAACATGTTTTCAAAATTCAAAATAGTTATTTTTTATTTATTGAATGTATTGATTTATAATTAATAAATTCATGTTTTCTTAAATTTCAATACTTAGAGCAAAATAAAATAAAACTAAAATAGGCTTCATTTAGTTGTAGGTGGTGGTGACGGTACTTCAAATGGTAAGCAAAATATTACTTTCTTAGTATTATCATAGTAAAACCAATACCTTCTCAGTTTCGCATCAAAGCTAAAAAATATTGAAAATAAATGTTTTAACTTTTTTAATTTCATACAGATTAAATATTTAGTTATAACTCACGCAATATATTTAAAAATATAAAACAATATATATTTTTTTATTTTTATAACACTGGTATCTGAACGTGTGTATGTTATTTTTTATTGAGTTTTATCAGAATATTAGAATTTAAAAAAGTGCTATTTTTTAGAAACAATTAGAACACAATATTTTTGTAATACAAAACAAATTGTCTAACAAAAATTTAATAAAAAGGTTATCAAATTAACAATATGCTAAACCGCTCCCAATAACTTTTTGCGCTTATTGTAATTAAATCCAGCAGGCGCTCTAGTATTTGGGTAACGAAGATAATAATACTACAACACGATCTGTTAAAATTCAATTGAAAGTTCAACAAATAGTAATTATAATAAGTTAAAACTCAATTTCGACACTAATATTTTTGTGTTAATGGACTGACATAATTAAAATTGAGTCATTTACATTTAATAAGAGTCACACCTCATTTATAACTACTCTTGCTTTTTTAACACCTTGTTAAGTGCAGGGTTGAATACTAGTGTACATTTAACTACATATTTGTAGGTGTAACAAAACAATTGTAATTTCAAAGTCATCAAAATGGCAACTAGAGTGTGGCGGTCGAATGTTCTAGAGAGTTCCGCCGCCGCCTCAAGAAGATTCCTCTGACTATTTAAGGGCAAGATCGTCGCTCCAGTCAATCAATCGATCAGTCAATCACTTACGCATTCTGTCTTAAACGCGCTTTGTCTCTCGCTGTTATTTGTTAATTCGTTGTAATATAGTATAGTTGTTATTAAATCGTAAAAATGTTTATTACTTCTATATATTACACCTCGCTACATTGGTGACCTCGACGTGATCAAGTATGAACGCCGAAGAACTACGCAATCAATTGAAGGAGTTACGCCAAGAAAACGCTCGCCTTGCAGCACTACAGGCACAGCAATATCCAACAGCTTCAGTGAATCGCGTTGCCGTCAAGTTGCCACCTTTCTGGTCCGAAAGACCGAGCTTATGGTTCTCACAGGTTGACTCGCAGTTTGCAATCTCGGGAATAACAAGTGAGGAAACAAAATTTAATTATGTTGTGGCTCAGCTTGATACGCGTTACGCCGCCGAAGTAGAGGATATTATTACTAACCCACCGCCTACTGAACGCTACAAACATCTACGCGCAAAACTCGTTGAACGGTTGTCTATCTCAGAAGAACAACGTGTGCGGCAACTCATCAATGAAGAAGAACTAGGTGACCGTAAGCCATCACAGTTCTTACGACATCTCCGTTCCCTTGCCGGCACTACTACATTACAAGACAATATTTTACGTCAACTTTGGCTCCGCCGTCTACCATCACATGCACAAGCTATTTTAACCGCACAATCAGAGCTTCCTCTGGATAAGGTAGCCGAGCTGGCTGACAAAATTGTTGAAGTGCAGCCAGCCCCCTCGCAATTCGTCCATGCTGTTGCCACGACGAACAATAAAAAGGAACTCGATGTTTTAGCCGCCATTGAAGCACTCGCAAAACAGGTAAGCGAATTATGTGCTAAACGCCCGCAACGTTCCCGCTCTAGGTCACGTAACCGTTCAAACGTGGAACTGACTAACGGCAAAGGATGGTGTTGGTATCATAGCACTTATGGAGAAAAGGCTGCCAAATGTAAGGCTCCCTGCAAGTATCAGGAAAACTCCAACGACAGTCAGTAGCGGCGGCAACAGACTGTCCGAACCCGAGCAGCCGCCTGTTTGTTACAGATCAAATAACAAAACGCCAATTTTTAGTCGACTCCGGTTCCGACTTATCTTGTTACCCTCAACGGCTACTACGGGAACGACGCCATGCCACCGATTACGACCTCAGCGCGGCCAACAACAGTACCATAAAAACTTACGGGACGGTCCATCTCAATTTGAATTTAGGACTTCGACGCAGTTTCCCGTGGAGTTTTATTGTCGCCGACGTGAGTACTCCTATCATTGGTTCCGACTTCATGGCATACTACCACTTGCTGCCGGATTGCCGTACCAAACGTCTTATTGATGGTGTCACAGGCTTGGCTGTGAATGGTAAGGTTTCCTCTGTAAATCAATGCAGCATAAAATCAGTTGCCAACACTTCCCCTTGGGCTGCACTTCTCGCAGAATTTCCGGACATCACACGTCCCACCGGATTGCCCAGGACAATAAAACATCAAACAGTGCACCACATTCTTACGACACCTGGTCAGCCAATAGCCTGCCGCCCACGCCGCTTAGCTCCAGGTAGACTAAAAATCGCCAAACAGGAATTCGCGGAAATGGTCAAGGCAGGTACCGCTAGACCTTCAAGCAGTCCGTGGTCTTCACCATTACATTTAGCACCGAAAGGGGAGAACAGCTGGCGTCCTTGCGGTGATTACCGCGCGCTGAACGCCCGAACTATACCAGACTCCTATCCAGTCAGACACATACATGATTTCTCGCACAACCTGGCTAATTGCACGCTATTTTCCACAATCGATCTGGTAAAGGCTTACCATCAAATACCTGTTAATCCGGACGATATATGCAAAACAGCCATTACCACTCCATTCGGACTTTACGAATTTCCTTTTATGACATTCGGATTGCGAAATGCTGGACAAACTTTTCAACGCTTCATAGACGAAGTTACCAATGGGTTGGACTTCTGTTATGCATATATTGATGACATTTTGGTATTCTCTAAATCGGAAGAGGACCACAAACAGCATTTACGCACTCTTTTCGGGAGACTTTCTGACTACGGTGTTGTCGTTAACCCGCAAAAATGTGTATTAGGTTCGGCTGAGGTGAAATTTCTAGGTTACCTAGTATCTTCTGAAGGCACCCGCCCGCCACCGGAACGCGTCGAAGCCCTACGACAGTATCCATTGCCAAAATCTATGCAAGGATTACGCCGGTTTTTGGGAATGGTAAATTTTTATCGCCGGTTTATTCCCAAAGCTGCCGACCTGCAAGCACCACTTCACGGTATTCTCAAAGGCCCGAAGACAAAAGGTTCCCAACCGATAGAATGGACTCCCGAGTTAGAAAAAGCGTTCACCACATGCAAAGAAAGTCTTGCGACCGCTACTCTTTTAGCACATCCTCATCCAGCCGCACGACTTGGACTATTCACAGACGCATCTAGCCAATCTATCGGCGCATGTCTGCAGCAGCGAGTCAATAACATCTGGCAACCCATAGCATTTTTTTCAAAGAAAATGTCGGTGAAACAAAGTGCGTGGCCTGCGTATTATCGTGAGTTGCTTGCCATCTATGAATCGGTGAAGTATTTCAGGCACATTGTCGAAGCACAACCATGTACCATTTTCACCGATCATAAGCCACTCGTATATGCTTTCACCCAACGGAGAGAAAAGATACCTCCTACGCAACTCAACCAGTTGACATTCATATCCGAATTCACCACCGACATTCAACACATTAAAGGTGATGAAAATATCGTCGCGGATACAATGTCACGCATTGAAGTTGTGTCTCTCCCGCTGGACTACCGAGCTCTTGCTGCATCTCAAGACACGGATGATGAACTCAAACATTTTACTGACAACAATTCATCTCTTCATTTGGAGAAGGTACTAGTGCCAGGATCTTCAGCCTATATTTATTGCGACACGTCAACGGGACGCCCACGACCATTTTTGCCACAACGATTCCGGCGTCACGCATTTGATCAGTTACACAACCTTAGTCACCCCGGTGCACGCGCAACAGCTCACTTAGTTTCAGAACGATTTGTGTGGCCAGCAATGAAAAAGGATTGCCGTTCCTGGGCACGTGCCTGCGTCCACTGTCAGCGATCGAAAATAAGCCGACACGTCTCAGCCCCACTGGGAAACTTTGAAACACCTTCACGCCGATTCAAACATGTTCATGTCGATATCATCGGTCCATTGCCGCCAGCACAGTCCTTTAGGTACTGTCTGACGGTAATCGACCGTTTCACCCATTGGCCGGAGGTGTATCCACTCGAACATATAACAGCAGATGATGTCACTAAGGGTTTCCTCAATTGCTGGATTTCACGCTTCGGAGTACCTCAATACGTTACGACTGACCGTGGTACTCAGTTTGTTTCAGCTACTTTAAAAACTTTAGCAAAACGTTTTGGTTTTACGCTTCGCCCCACTACCAGTTGGCATCCTGCTGCAAACGGATTCGTCGAACGAATGCACCGACAACTAAAGGCAGCCATCATGGCCCACGCAAAAGACTCGTGGACTGAGTCACTGCCTATCGTGCTTCTCGGAATACGTTCTGCGTTTAAGGAAGACTTAAAAGCCACGTCTGCGGAACTTGTTTATGGGGAGCCTCTTAATCTTCCTGGTGATTTCTTCACAGACAATCAAGATAATAGCAGTACGAACGACCCTACTAGCTTACTAGATCGTCTTCGCAGTGTTATGAATAAAATCCGTCCAGTACCTGCATCTCGCCACTCAAATCCACGATCATTTGTTTTTGCGGACCTTAAGGACTGTTCACACGTATTTCTCAGGGAGGGAGGTGTCCGAGCAGCACTTCAACCGCCATATCAAGGTCCCTACGAAGTAATTGCCCGAAATGACAAAACGTTCACAATAAAAGTTCGAAATCAACCAGTTACGGTGACGATTGATAGAGTAAAACCTGCCTACCTCATGGTGAATGAAAGCACAACCGATAGCCAGGCACATGCTCCACCAGCGACTGCCCCGGATACGCCCAAACAAAAACAACCGCCTTATACCGATCCATCAACGCAGCCAGTACGAACAACTCGCTCAGGCCGCCGAGTCAGATTCCCGGACATTTTTGACCCTAGCTAACTCCACTCCGTAGGGGGGTGGTGTGGCGGTCGAATGTTCTAGAATGTTCGGCCGTCGCCGCCTCTAGAAGATTCGTCGCTCTACATAAGCGTGTGGCGGTCGAATGTTCTAGAGAGTTCCGCCGCCGCCTCTAGAAGATTCCTCTGACTATTTAAGGGCAAGATCGTCGCTCCAGTCAATCAATCGATCAGTCAATCACTTACGCATTCTGTCTTACACGCGTTTTGTCTCTCGCTGTTATTTGTTTGTTCGTTGTAATATAGTATAGTTGTTATTAAATCGTAAAAGTGTTTATTACTTCTATATATTACACCTCGCTACATTGGTGACCTCGACGTGATCAAGTATGAACGCCGAAGAACTACGCAATCAATTGGAGGAGTTAACTGTAAAAGATTCCTTAATTTTTAAATTTATGTAAAGTATTTTCGTATTTGTATATCTAATTCTGGTCTTAATTGATACATAATTTTAAACAAGATATTTTAGTAAAATATTCACATAAATTATATATTGAATTTCAGTCCAGATCTTATTATATAATAGAACAAGGAAAAAAACGCTTTTCTGGGAAAATTACTTAGCGTGCTCGGATTTTCAACATTTTTTTTTTCAACGAAAGTACTCGGTCACCAGACTCCGGGAAAATTATTGGCGAAGGTCGGAAAATTTTTGCCGCTCGCCCGCGAGCGTTTTAAAATTTCGACCGTTTTCGAGAAAAACGCTCGCTGACGCCAGCGTTTTACGACTTGAGGTTTGAAATTTTCATCAGACCCGCCCAATGACATTCCTGAGATGTGATAAAAAAATCAATTCAATCCGTTCATTTTTCACCGTTTTACGAGCTTTTTTTTTTTCATGCGCCCGAGACGCCAGGGCGCGCCGCCCGAAATTCTTGCGACACTTTACGACATGAAAACGATTTTTTTTACGATTTGCAATCATACCACGGCGTTCTGTACGTGCCGAGGAAGCGCCAAAAATCGGAAAATCCCAGATCCGACAAAAACTCTGGCCGCTACGAGCGTTTGAAATTCATCAAATTTTAACGGAAAATGACGATTTTTCTGTTTGCTAATAATACACATGTACGCGTCCTATTATATCTTATTATATAATAGAACAAGGAAAAAAACGCTTTTCTGGGAAAATTACTTAGCGTGCTCGGATTTTCAACATTTTTTTTTTCAACGAAATTACTCGGTCCCCAGACTCCGGGAAAATTATTGGCGAAGGTCGGAAAATTTTTGCCGCTCACCCGCGAGCGTTTTAAAATTTCGACCGTTTTCAAGAAAAACGCTAGCTGACGCCAGCGTTTTACGACTTAAGGATTGAAATTTTCATCAGACCCGCCCAATGACATTCCTCAGATATGATAAAAAAATCAATTCAATCCGTTCATTTTTCACCGTTTTACGAGCTTTTTTTTTTCATGCGCTCGAGACGCCAGGGCGCGCCGCCCGAAATTCTTGAGACACTTTACGACATGAAAACGATTTTTTTTACGATTCGCAATCATACCACGGCGTTCTGTACGTGCCGAGGAAGCGCCAAAAATCGGAAAATCCCAGATCCGACAAAAACTTTGGCCGCTACGAGCGTTTGAAATTCATCAAATTTTAACGGAAAATGACGACTTTTCTGTTTGCTAATAATACACATGTACGCGTCCTATTATATCTTATTATATAATAGAACGAGGAAAAAAACGCTTTTCTGGGAAAATTACTTAGCGTGCTCGGATTTTCAACATTTTTTTTTTTCAACGAAAGTACTCGGTCACCAGACTCCGGGAAAATTATTGGCGAAGGTCGGAAAATTTTTGCCGCTCGCCCGCGAGCGTTTTAAAATTTCGACCGTTTTCGAGAAAAACGCTCGCTGACGCCAGCGTTTTACGACTTGAGGTTTGAAATTTTCATCAGACCCGCCCAATGACATTCCTGAGATGTGATAAAAAAATCAATTCAATCCGTTCATTTTTCACCTTTTAACGAGCTTTTTTTTTTTTAAGTCCACGCGCATGGTTTTATTATGCGCAGTGATTCATTTCTGCTGATACGTTTATTATGAACCTTAATTATATGGTGTATTATGTATTATTATTAGGACACTATTTTGCATTCGCCCTATTTTAATCAAGGAATGTTATATGTTATATATAAATTTCAAGACGTTATAATTATTTAAGTTTGTACTTTCATTATAAGAACAGTACTAAGTACAGAGTTAATAATTTTCTTTTTTCTCATATATGATGTATGAGACTATGAGTTTATCTTTTGAATTGGGATTCATCTATGATAACTATGATGTTCATCGTTAAATCGCAGTTACCAATATATTTATCAAAATTAAATTTTTATTTTTATTTTTAATATTAATTTTATTTTAATATTAATTTTAATTTAAATTTACAGTGTGCCACTTATAATAACCTGCTAAATTTTTTTTTAATTATTCTATAATATAAACACAATTATTATAATTAGATTATTAATAATTTTTGTGTATAACAGGGGTGTATTTAAGAGAGATTGGCCCCTCCTTGAACAAGCGCTATCAATATTTTTTTAGGCAACTTCTAATATATAAGGACCTAATGTCCTTTTTTTTCATCATTACTTTAATTTTAGCAAAAAAATTTCTATAACATGTTTAACAAAGTAAAAAATATTAAATTTCCTCCTAAAATAATTTTTGAATAGGCCTAAAGGGAATACCTCATTAAGAGGCTTCAACCTTATACCCAATACATTTTACTATATTCTCTTTTTGAATTTTCCTGATTTTAATAATAACATTTTGAGATATAGTTTTCTATAGTTTTCACTGATTCTGAAGTAATATTTTTTCTGAAAAACACTTATCGCGTAGCCGGGTACTTCTACCGGAATCAGTGGCCTACTTATGATGACGGCCCGAAGAGGCTTACGCGCCGAAGGCGCGTAAGGCTCGAAGGGCCCCGGGTCTGGGGCGGAGCCCCAGCTAGGCGGAGCCTAGTACTTTATAATTAAATTGAATAAAATTAGTTGTTTTTACGTAGTTCTGATAACTAGCAAGGTTGAGTTCCGATTAAATGATTTCGCTATGGGAGGTGATGAAAAACCTTTGTGATAAATATCATCATAGAAGCTGTGTACTCTACCCGAGGGCTTTTTATTTGTATTACTATATCAAAACGTTAAAAAGGACTATTAGATAGGCAATAATGTAGAATACCGTAAATTTTTAATGAACAGTTATAATTAAAAAAAAAAACAATTATGGATATTCAATTAGTAATATCATGTAGTCTTAAATTTCAATACTTTTTTGTAATAAAAAAAAATTATTTTAATTATTGTGATACGGAATTGCTCTACGCTGACACTCACCCGCGTCTCTTTCGATATCAGCCGTCTACCTATTAATATGACAATCGGTTGTCATCGAGTGTCTCCCTGCTCTTGACACCGTAACAAGGCCGCCCGCTGACTATGCATTACTGATATCTCGTTTTGTTACGTTTCCGACGCTAACCTAACTGGTTTACGACTTAAGTGTGTGTCATTTTTTCACAATTGTGCAACTATACTCTATCTTTAGTGTAATTTGCTAAATAAATTATACTTATATACTTTCGAATTTTTGCACGATTGTGTAAACTATACGTTATCTAACTTGTGCGTCCGTGCTATTATTGGATTACGCGTCAATTGATACTATGTAATAAACAAAAATTAAAAAAGGAAGGAAGGGTAGAAAAGTGAGGATTAAGAGGGTTCAATTAATAATTCCATGTACTCTTAAATTTTAATACTCTTAACAATATAAAAAACAAATCTACTATATCTAGTTGAAGGTACTGTTGGTGATTCATCAAGTGGTAAGCAAAAAATTACTAACATTAAGTTAATTAATATTATAGGATTATCATTTTTTCATATTAATTTTGCTCAATAACTTTTAAATTGAATATAATATAATATATTATATTTATGTTTTCATAATATAAAATATTTATATAATGAAAATTTTACATAAATGTCAAAAAAAGTTTGTCAATGGGGATCTATTCCCTGAATCCTTTCCCATTTGATCACTACCAAAAGGGTAATTAAGGTATATTAATTAAAAATTATTGTTTTGGATCAATAAATTTAATGAAAATAAGATTAAATTTTCATACATTTTAAATATATTTCATTAGATAACGTGTGCATAACTATTTAATTTTTTTTTTTTTTTGATTATTTTAATTTATTCAATACTTCAAAAGGAACAGTTCCTTTAAAGAAATTAAAAATACATATTAATATTAAAACTCACTGTTAATTGTTAGTACTTACATTTTTAACGACTTTAACGAATGAGTTGATTATAATTTAAACGAAATTTAAATGAAATCATATAATATATGACGTAAAAAAAAGCAAACGGGAAATGTTTTACGTTTTCAAAAAATTAAAAAAATGTTTAATTTTAGTACTGTAATATTTACTTTTTACGTTGTTACATATATTTTATAGTATGCCCTATCTGTTTGGATGAGTTAAACATAGAAATTCATGTGACAACATGTATCCATACATTTTGTAAAGGATGTATAAAGAAATGGATAAAAATTCATGGTACATGTCCAATCTGCCGAAGTTCAATTAATTATGGTAATTAATTATAAAATAACAAATTTTATATGTAAATGGTATCTAAAAATAATTTGTAGCACTAAAAAATATTTCAATTGCACCAATGCCACTCACATACATAAGCATTTGCTTCTATATATTGTTTTTATAAATAAATAAAAATCAATAAAAACGTTGGGTATCTTGCCTAGTTATCGAACGATTAAAGATTAATTTTATTAAAAATTAGAATTACATATTTAAAGTTATGAATTCATTTCTAATCTCTGAATACACAATTTATAACTTTATGTAAAATTTGATTAAATAAATTAAGCGAAAGAAAACCTTATGAAACAACGTGTAAACAAGAATTTTGTAATGAATGTATGGAAACATGATGAACAAAATAAATTATGAACCCCGGGTGATACTATTTTTATCACTATACGTTTTTTGGTCTCACTCCTCCTCCTGTGGAGCTATAAAATGATTTTAATTACTGACAAAAAAATGATGATTTTTTTTGGTTTTTTTAACAGAAACGGATGGCACTAGTTCTGAAAGTAAGGTTTTTGATATAAGTTTTAAATGAAAGAATAAGTTATATTTTTAACAATAGCACAAATTAACGTTTAACTTTACAATTTAACAAAATGTTAATTTCTACAGATTTAAAAATATTTCAGTAATTTAACAACAAAATATATACATATACATAATATATACATTAATTTTTTGGGATTCAAAAACTCTTCGAGATTTTCCCAATAAAATAATTTACTATATGTGGTTAATCATTTTAAACAAATTTGCTTAAGGCAGCATGCGGGTAAAAAATGTTTATCGAAATATTGTTTGCGATGTTCAAAACCGCATAATTCTTTGTTACATTTCGTTCAGCGCACGCCAACTGTAACAGCTGATCTGAACGTAAACAATAACACACCGATATCCGAATTGGTAGAACAGATAGAAACAACGAGCTAGCACAACGCAATAGTTCTTACCTTTGAACAAGTCGTTTTATCAACCGCGGTAGTATCAGTACGAGACAATAACAATTAATAACAACCATCCCGTATTTTATTAGATTCCGGTTTACAGAGTTATTTTATTTCCGAATCATTAGTACGGGAATTAAAATTGAAGAAGAGAAAAATAGCTTATACAAAAATCGATATAGGCGAAACTGTAAAAAATATATCCGCGTCGGTTGAAATACTGATTGAGTCACATGTAAATAAATTTTGTTTAAATATAAAGTGTTTAGTGGTACCCAAAGTAACTGGTAGTTTACCTACACGGAGGATAAGTGAAAATGTGCAGATGCTAGGTCATATAGTATTAGCAGATCCATTGTTCATAAATACCCAAAAGGTGACGTATTATTGGGGGCGGAACAATTTTATGAAGTTCTTGAAACTGATCGGTTAAAGATATTTGAAGGTGGACCTACGGCTCAAAAAACAAAGTTTGGCTGGGTGATTTCCGGGCCCATTCCGGAAACGATTTACTATAACCTTAATACAAATAGTAAGAGTTGTCACGTGAGTGAAAATGTGATAATTGTAGTAATCGACTAGAAGGATTGTTAACATAATTTTGGAAATTAGAAACGATAGAAAAGGAATACCCTTTTACTTTAGAAGAAAATAAGTGTAAAGAAATATTTGATCATACAGAAACACGTGATGAAACCGGTAGATTTATAGTAAAACTACCATTTCGTAATCAACCAACTGGTCTCGGAGGTTCTTATGAAATAGCCAAGCGTCGATTGTTATGTTTAGAGAAACGATTTAAGAGCAATGTAAAATTAAAAGCTGAATATTCAAAAGTTTTGTTAGAATATGCAAGCTTAAGACATATGACGAAGGTAATTGATGAAAAGGAATAGGACAAGTCATTATGTTGTTATTTACCTCATCACGCGATGTATAATGAAAATAGTACTATTACTAAAATTAGGGTGGTATTCGACGCATCGTGCCAAACAGCATCGGGTATAAGTTTAAACGATTGTCTATTAAAAGGACCAACTATTCAAAATACTAAACTATTCAAGATGAATTAATATATATTTTAGCCAGGTTTCGCACACATAAGTTTGTTTTAACAGGCGATATTGTAAAAATGTACCGCCAAATAAGAGTTACCGAAGCGGATAAAAAGTTTCAACAAATATTATGGGGTGAAAATCTAGAGGATGCCATTTGGTCGTTTAAATTAGAAACTATAACGTATGGTACAGAATAAGCTAGTTTTTTAGCTACTGCTTGTCTAGAAAGGTTAGCTGATGAAGAAAAAACAAATTATCCCAAGGCATGTGAAGTACTTGGTTGTCATTTTTACATGGATGAATTACTTACAGGAGCGCAATCGAGAGAAGAAATTGTTAATATACAAAGTGAGCTTATTGCTGTATTGAAAAAAGCTGGAATGGAGTTGTCAAAATGGGCGTCTAATATACGATCATATGAAGGTAAAATTAAAGAAAACAGAAGGTCTGTGGTTTTAGGTTTATTATGGGAAGCACAAAGTGATTTTTTTAAATATAATGTGTTAAAAATGACAGAAAATAGTAATATTACAAAGAGAATTATTTTATCTTATATATCAACAATATTTGACCCATTAGAATTAGTCTGTACGGTAGTTTTACGATGTAAGCTACTGATACCGAAATTATGGCAATCGCGTATCGGGTGGGATGAGCCGTTATGAATAATTAGTAAACGAGTGGCGTAATTATATTGGCGATTTATTATTATTGAATGGCATATCGATAGCAAGACGGTGCGGTGAAATAGATAATTTTACTAATATACAGGTACACGGTTTTGCCGACGCATTATTGAAGGCCTACGGGGCATGTATATATTTAAGATGCACAAATAATAATGGAAATCATACAGTATACCTTATCGGCGCGAAGTCCAAGGTAGTGCCATCAAAAACAATAACATTACCGCGGATATTATATCGCGCGGTAGTGAGGCGAGGCAACTGGTGCAAAATGAACGATGGTGGAATGGCTCAGTAAATACGAAGATGAATGGCCTATTAATTTTGATAGTCTAATATTAAATGACAAAGAATTGGAAATGGAAGCTAAAGGTGTTCAAGCATTGACAATTATTGCAAATTCAGAATTTTCGTTATTAACGCGATGTTCCTCATTAAATAAAATATGACGTACTATGGCATATTGTTTGCGATATAGGGATCGTATAAAAAAGGATATAAATGGTAAACCATTAAATAGAATGACAGGTCATATTTTAGTACACGAGGTGGAACGAGCTGAAAAGGCATTAGTGCATATAGTTCAAAATGGATATTTTTCTCAAGAAATAAAATGTTTAAAAAGGCCAAACGGTCAAGTATCACAAAAGAGTAAACTTTTCGTCTATAACCGTTCTTGGATAAAAGTGGATTACTTAGAGTAGGCGGAAGATTAAAAAATGCAGCATCATTAGAGACTTTTCAAAAACATCCACTGATTATACCGGCTAAGAGTAATTTTACTAAATTGTTACTTAAAAATGAGCATGAAAGGTTATGTCATAGTGGTCCACAAGCTGTTTTAGCGTCCATAAGGCAAACATTTTGGCCATTAAATGCAAGGAATACAATTAAAGGAATTACATTAAATTGTCTGCGTTGTTTTCGATAACGTCCCATCATGGTGCAGCCCAAAATGGGGAACCTGCCAAGCGATAGAGTTGAACCTTCTCGAACTTTTAAGATAAGCGGAGTAGATTTCTGGGGGCTAGTGATGTTAAAGAGCAGTCTAAAAAAAAAATGCACCATTAAAAATGGCTTATGTTAGTATGTTCGTTTGTTTTTCAACTAAGTACATATTGAGTTGGTAAATGGATTAAGTACGCAGAACTTTATACTAGTATTACAGAGGTTTATGGCTAGAAGAGGAAAAATCAGTGTGATATATTCAGATAATGGCACAAACTTTCATGGTACAGATCGTCAGTTAAAAGAGGTGTATGAGTTATTTTATTCAGAAGCGCATAAAAAGGAGTTATTTGAGCATTTTACAAATGAACGTATTGAGTGAAAGTTCATACCTCTGTGCTCTCCACATTTCGGGGGTTTATGGGAATCTGCTGTTAAAAGCATGCAAGGGCTCATAAAAAGAATACTGGGCGAATCACATTTAACGTTCGACGAAATGTACGCCGTGCTTACACGCGCTGAGGCTTGTCTGAACTCATGTCCTCTCACTCCTTTGTCTCCTTGTCCAACCGACATACCTGTGCTAACTCCTGGTCATTTTTTAATTGGTGAAGCATTGACTACATTACCAGAGAGAGACGTAAGCGATAATCCGTCAAATCGATTAGATCGTTGGCGTAGAGTAAATAAATTTTCTCAATAAATATGGAAAAGCTGGAGTAGGGAATATCTTTCACAACTTCAAACTCGCTACAAATGAGCAAAAGAAAAGTGACCTAAACTGTCAGTGGGTTTCAACGTCTTAATAAAAGAAGAAAATCTCAGCCCTCTGGCCTGGCGATTGGGCCGAGTATTAAGTGTTATATGTGATAAGGATGGTGTGATCCGCACAGCAAGGGTAAAAACAGTCTTTGGTGAATACTTACGAGCAGTTCGAAATTTAAGTCCATTGATTTATTAAAATTTATTTTTTGTCAATTTAAATATTTGTGTAACCTGTTTGTTATTTTAAAATGTTGGTTTTTTGCAATTTGTTTTGTGTTTTATATATATATATTGATTTGTTAGATAAATTATATATTGATTTTGGTTAATCAAAGTGGGCGGCTTGTTTGATATTTGGGAAAAAACAATAGATATTTTTTGTTATAGAATAGGTGGGGAACGGTGCAGCATAGGTTTTGTGTTTGTAAGTCAGTCAAAAACCGGACAACGAATGATGAGTTCGGCGCACTTACGCGCACCTAAAGTTTTAAACTAAAATAAAGTGTTTTTAGTCAAAATTTAAAATACCGAAAATTACCGACCACAAACACTTTATTAAATTTAAAATATGTATTCCCATTAAACAAAGTTAACACTCTTATCAGGCATAAGGGATGACTTAATCTTTTTAGTATTGCTATAGTTTTATATATTTCTATTTAAATCATCCTTTTACCTTATAAGTTAACTTTTATTTTTCTTCAATGGTAGCATACATAAATAACTAGCTTATAAAATAAAAAAAAAACTTTATAAGAACTGGTATATAATAACTTTTGGATATGTATTTACAGACTTTCAATATATGTGTATTTTATTATAGCGAAAACTTTATAAAAAAACATGTTAATATGAATTGTACAGTGAATGTATGGAAACATTATTATAAAATAAATGGTTATACTAATTTTATCACTGGAAATTTTTCATCTTCGCTGCCCCTCCATTCAATTATTAATAACTACAAACCAAAAATGATTATTTTATTTTTTACTTTGACAGGCTCGGATAGCACAAGCTCTGAAGATGAAACTATGCAGAGTAATTTTTATCATATAAGCTTATAAGAATAAGTTATATTTTGATGTTCTTTTTTCAATAACACAAGTTAACGTTTAATTAATAAAAAAGAAATTATCAAAAAAAAATTAATTTTAATGTAAATAATTATTTATTAATAAAATATATTATTATTCTAATTTTAGCTACGATGCGAAGCAGAGAAGGTATTAATTTTATTATGATGTGTTTTTTTTTTTTTATGCCTGTTGCCACTTTTTCTCAGGTCTCACTGGACCAATTTCTTTCAAAAATACGTCAAAAGATCACAAATCGTATCTAATTAAAGACATTACCCTTAAAAATCGAAAAAAATTCCCTCATTCCCCGCAAATGGGGAAAATATCCAAAAAAATTACAAATTTAAAAATCGCTAATTTTCGAAATTTTTTCACTTTTTTTTTTTAAAACTTCCATAACTTTTTGAAAAATCAACATAACTTTTTTTTATACTAAAACTTTAGATATTTACCTTTCATTTGATATCATTTATTTGGAAATCTATCATTTAACCTGCTCATTAGGGGGGATTTAAAATAGCAACTTTTTTACAAAAATTCATCTTTCATTTGACATACTTTTTATTAAAATTGGACAATTTTCTCTTATATAGGGTGCGTTCAAAACTTGAAATATTAAAAAAAACATAGATCTTTTTCAACTGAACTTTTGAAAATGTTCCGGAAATACTGCGTCCTTTAAACATATATCAAATCAAAGGTTATGTTATATACTATAAAATGAAAAAAAAAATTTGTTCCGACGACCTATCTTCTATGCGCAAATGGCTACCATGTTCAAAAATATGCTATTTTAACAAATTTTTTTTTTTTTAATTAAACACTATCTACAGATTTGCATCGAAGCGTTTTTTATGATAGTGATTTTAATCACTGTCAGATATTATCTATACTGGATCCAACTATGCCACGACCCACTCTGCGGCCACTTCACTGTGTTGGGTTTTTTTTTTGATCAGTTTATAATATAATATATTATTAAATTTGAATATTATGAAAAATATTACATAAAATGTCTACTTTACTATGTTTAGGAGGTGTAGTGTTTCATTTCATCCCCGCAGCTGACGGTAAGCTATAAATTAATAACATACAGTTAGATGCTAATAAAAAGTTCATTTGATAAATAATAGAATTTATTAAAACAATATCCTTAATATATTAGTTTTATCAGTCATTTCTAGTGATCCCAAAAGTCTAGACTCATTTACAACATATCCTATTTTAATATAACACTCTTATATTTTGTAACATGGACCTACTATAAATTAATTAATTTTTGAAATTTGTTTTCATATCCTAATTCATTGTTTCAATTTTAGCTTCGATGCGAAGCTGAGAAGGTATTGGTTTTACTAAGATTTTTTTTTTTATTTTTTTTTTTATTTTTTTTTTTGTGTCTGTTACCACTTTTTCTCAGCTCTCACCGAACGGATTTCTTTCAACGATACGTCAAAAGATCACAAATCGTATCTAGTCGAAGACATTACCCTTCAAAATTGAAAAAATTTCCCTCGTTCCCCGTAAATGGGGGAAACCTCCAAAAAAATTACAAATTTAAAAATCGCTAATTTTCGAAATTTTTTCAATTTTTTTTACTAAAAACTGCCGTAACTTTTTCAAAAATGAACATATCAATATAATTTTTTTTTTTATAGATGCTTGATGTCTTTACCTATTATTTGGTATATTTTGTTTGTAAATTAAACCATTTTTCTGCCCACAGGGGGGGATTTAAAATGACAACTTTTTCACAAAAAATTAACTTTTTTAACTTAACTTTTGAAAATGTTCCGGAAGGTCTGACACTTTTATATATATCTTAAATTAAAGCTAATGTAATATACTTTAATTTGAAAAAAAAAAATTTGACCTCTGGACTTGTCTTCACGGCGAAAATGGCTACCGAATGCTATTTTCGTGTGAAAATTCTCGATTTTATGATTTATATTATATTTAACTTTATAATGCTATAACTTATTGAAAAGTTTATGGATCCACACAATTTTTTTATGACAAATAATATTTTTTAATAAACCCTTTTTCATTCGACATACTTTATCTTAATCGAGATATTAATAAGGAACCAGCAGATCAAGTAGCTTTTGGAATAAAACACCAATTTTTTTAAAATTAAACACTATCTAAAGATTTGCATCGAAGCGTTTATTTTTGATAGTGATTTTAATCACTGTCAGATATCATTATACTTGATCCAACTATACCACGTCACAACTGTGCCGCGACCCCCCTGTGCTGGGTTTTTTTTTTTTTGTTACATAGTATCAATTAATAATTCTAAATTCATTCTAAATTTGTGTTTAAATGCATTTCATATTTATTATTTGTGTAATGCAATTAAATATCTTTATTTTGATGAGAACTACTATTAATTTTCATTTTGTTCAATTTAATAGTGTAATTTTATTTCTGAGATGGTTATCTGGCATAGTCTATATAAGGTTCAATTGAGTAAAAAAGTTTATTTTTAAATACTTTTACATTTAAACTAATAATCGTTTAATTTCAACAAAATAAATTTAAAAAAATAAATAAAATTTAATGGTTTAGTATTTGAACAATAAAATCTACTATAATTTTAATTTATTTGTTAATAATGTAATCTTTTCTTGAATTTGAATACTATTATAAATATAAAATAAAAAACTGATCTACTATGTTTAGGTGTAAATTTAAGTCCTGTTTCCCCAGCAGCAGGTAAGCAATAAATTATTATAATTTAATAAGGTGTGTCTAAAAAGTTCATTTGAATTATAATACAATTTATTAAGAAAATATCTATCATATATTAGTATCATAATTGATTTTTAGTGATCCTAATTATGTAGACCCATTTACTATGTATCCTAAGTAGGGGTGTAAAGTATGAGCTGGGACCTCCCCAAAACGGCCCCGGCCATTTCCTCTCCCTAGGTGGACGGGCGGTGTATACAACCGGGAGGGGGATATGGTGAAAGGTCGATGTTTCTCGTTCCTAGATAGCATTTCGTTATACCATGGTACAAGTTACCTTGGTATATGCATAGTATACCTAGGTAGATGGAACATCATATAGTATATCTTGATATATTACAGAATTTTAAAAATTACATAATTTTAGAATTATATGAAAATATACAGAAAAGTGAAAGGTGCAATCGAGCGGCGGCGGCGGCGGCTTATTAACCCAACGAAACCCAACTATGACGTGTATTGTTCATAGAGGGTCTCCCTTCCTTGACTCAAGTATGTACTAAAACAGCAGTCCAACTATTTAACCCTACAAAGAAGGGGAGGCGATGATAAAACTCATCATAAGATGACCATTATTATAATATTAAAGTAAATAAATAAATATGTGCAATATTTCATAAGAATTCAGTTATTTTGTAATTAAAGAGAAAATATTTAAAAATCGATAGTTTAAATTAATTATTATAATATTAAGTTACATTATTGCGTTTGTTAATAGATATTTTTTTTTGTTAATGTGTAAACGTTATTGGATAAAACATATGTATACATATTGAGTATACACATACTCTATTACATAAATTTGTATAAAAATATTTAGAAATCGTGACTTTAAATTTAATTATTATGATATTAAAGTGAAATCACTTAAGCGGTGAACGAAAAGGCTAGTTTACAGAGATATGTGATCTGTAATTTGCCGACCCTCGATGAAAATTTGTCATTTTTCCGCATAAATGAGTATTTTCACATAAAAAACTGATTATTACTTGAGTAAAATTAATAGTGTTGTATCACTTAAACGTTTTAAAAAATGTTTTCTTGTGACAAGTGTGAAAAAGTGTACGTTGTCAAAAAACTGTTTTTAACTGCTGCATAGGAAAATACATGACGGTATACGATTTAAGTGTTATTTATGCTCATCTACTACTTTTTCGGACAAATGCGGATTTGTACAGTTATAATGTATTGTATACCCTGGTATATTCATAGTATACCGAAGTAGATGGAACATCATATAGTATATCTTGATATATTATAAAAAATTGGAGCTATTTTAAAAATTACATAATTTTAGAATTATTTGAATGCAGAAAGTGAAAGGAGTAATCAAGCGCCGACAGCGGCTATTAATCAAACGAAACCCGACTATAGCTATGTGATGTGTAGGCCTTTGGTCATAGAGAGCCCACTTACTTGAATAACGTATGTATTAAAACAGTAAATCAGCGGTTTACCCCTACGTAGAAGAGGAGGTGATGATGAAACTCATCATAAGGTGATCATTATTATGATATTAAAGTAAATAAATAAATATGTATAATATTATACTATTTCATAAGAATTGAGTTATTTTTTTAATTTTAGAGAAAATATTTATACGTTTGAAATAATATTTTATCAAATTCTTTTTTGATTATTCAGTCACACTACCGCGTTTGTTAATAGACATTAATGTGTAATCGTTTTTGTATAAAACATGTATACACATAATCTATTACATATATTTGTATACAAATATTTAGAAATCGAGAGTTTAAAATTAATTATTATGATATTAAAGTGAAATTACTTAAGTGATAAAGAAAAGAGTTAGTATACGGGGATATGTGTCCTATGATTTGCTGACCCCCCTATGAAAATATGTGTTTTTTCCGCATAAATGAGCGTGAAATCGTTGATAAAGTCACAGTGTCATCAAGAACCCTCAGCTCTAAGAAGAAGACTCTACTCTATGAACAATATGGATGCCGAACCTGTAAGAAAACAACGTTATGTTTATGTTGCACCGACACCGCCAGCTGAAATGATCGATTCAAGCAGTTANTCACCAGCCGAGATGATTGACTCTAGCAGTTACACTATTGCGTTCAGCGACAGAAAATTTTTGCAAGTGGGCCTGAATCCAAAGGATGACTTCAATGTTACGGTATGCATTATTACTCCTTCACGATATATTAGTATGTCAGCGGACTATTTAAATATTATTTACGGCATGATGGATGAAATATCATTATTTCTACAATCACCTCCGGTAAAAGGAGAGAACATTATGTTATACCAAAATGTCGATTTTAATATAACCAAAGTATTGTACCGTGATACCATGCATTTAGTATTAGAATCCAGAATAGTGGATGGGTGTCGAGTGTTATTAAATAACGAAAACATTAATAGACTCATGGACTTACAGTGTACTATTAACAGTACAATATCAAGAAAAATAAAAACACGTTTACTATTAAGCCATCAAATAGACCGCATTATACAATACGCCGACGGTAAATGGTCGGGCCCTAAAATTCAACAATCAAACAATGATGAANCGGGCTCTAAAATTCAACAATCAAACAATGATGAAATGGTTAATTTTATAAGAAGTTTGAACGACATTGAAATATGCGATACTATTCCTAAAGGCGTCAGTAATTACATAAGTGAGCTGAAAAATTTAGCATACAATGTAATAGTTGATCGTTGTATCAAGTCATGGTCCGAGGGCACGCTTCAAATTAATGTGAGTTTAATGAATATAGATTGTCATAACCTTTATTGTTATTAAATTTATAATTTGTTTTAGGAAAAAGAAGAAATGTATGACGAAAATGATGGTCTGGCATTTTTCGATACAACAGTGTTTACCCGAGAAAATAGTTATAGTCCATGGGCTTCACAATGACCGAAATCCAATCACGTCAGAAAATTAACTTATATTAATAATTTATAAACAATAACTTTATATATTGTACTAGTTTCTTATAATAAACTTATAATCTAAAATGAAAAACAATTTTTTTTTTTATATAATATATTTATTTCATAATAATAATAATAATTCAAGGTTAATAATAAATGTTTACATAAACGTGTAAAAAAATGTTAAAATATACGGACAGTTCCGTCAAAAGGTGTATATGTAAATACATTGTCTGAAATTACTAGAGCATATGCAGTTGTATTACCAGGGAACGCGGCTGATGCTTCAATTTCAATACGTAGGTCAAAAGACGAGACTGTAATTGTATCGTTCTGCTTTGACATGTCGATTACGGCAATAGGTATTAAATTATGAAATTGTTTTTTATTTACTAAAGGCGAACACCAAGGTCTATCATAATAACTCTTTTGAAAATTAACATAGTAGGAAAATAAAATACTAAATAGCTTACAGTCAAAATTACATCTTACATCGATGTACGGGTAAACTTCTGAATTTAAATGGACTTTAAGATTTGTTAAATTACAATGATCGAATTCAGACATTGATTTACTTTCACTATTTTTACGGTCTGTTTGAAACCCTACTATAACATAACGGGGCTTTTGAAAATTATTACATGTTTTAACGGTCCACGAAAACGATTTGTTTTGTGGTACAAACGGATATTCACACAGTTCCCAATTTCTATGGGCGCAATGTATAGGCTTTTTACTATCTAAAACTCTAAGTAATTTTAATTGTTCCTTTTCGGTCACTTTGACGATTGGCATATTCCATACAACTTTTGTTAGTTTAATTGATACTGTAGACAGTTTTTCTTTTACTGTGGTACTCGTATCTAATAGCTNAATACTGTAGACAGTTTTTCTTTTGCTGTGGTACTCGTATCTAATAGCTTGACAACCACATTATCATCAGAAGTTCCCGTGCTGCATTTAAGTTTTTCAGAGGACTCTTTCACATTGAATAATTTGGTTACGTTAATGTCTGATGAACTCCTCGTACATATTAATGATTGGGTACAGTTTAATAGTATTTTTTTATAATCTTCGGCAAACCCTAGTACATGTATAGTCATTTTAACTATGGAGCAAAATAAAGTTCCAATTTTTTTTTCATATTGAAGTACATTACATAAGTTTTAATTTAAGATATATATAAAAGTGTCTGTATTTCGGGACACTTTCAAAAGTTAAGTTTAAAAAATCAACTTTTTTGTAAACAATTGTCATTTTGAATCCCTTTCTCCTTGTGTGCATATTAAAAAAATATATACACTAAATGATAGGTACATATCTACAATATTTATTAAAAATAAATGTGTTTGTATTCATTCATTTTTTCAAAAAGTTATAGCAGTATTAGAAATTTTTTTCAATATTTGAGGGTAATTTTTTTGGCTAGATATGATTTGTGATCTTTTGACGTATCGTTAAAAGATATCGGCTCGTTGAGACTTGAGAAAAAGTGGAAACAGACACACAAAAAAAAACACATCATAGTAAATTTATTGAAACTTCGAATCGAAGTTGAAAAATTAATTTTTATAGATTTTAAAATGTTTTAATAATTTAACAATAAAATATATTGAATTTATAATATATGTGCTCTTAAATTTGAATACTTTTAGCAGTATAAAACAAATAAAAAAACCTACTATATTTAAATGTAGATAATGGTGATGAATCATCAAGTGGTAAGCAAAAAATTAAAAAAATTAAGTTAATACTATAATACAGTACATAATATTAACATTGTTTAATATACAATAGTAGGGTAACATGGAGAGAGCTGGTTTCCCCCACCTCACCCACTCACCTTTCTAAAGGTCGTGATGAAGTGTACGTGGGGGATTAAATCTTTTTTTTTTTTCTCACACCGCCAACATGTTGTGGACCGCCCTGGAACTACCGTGAGGTATTGCTTCAGGGCGGCCCACGCTGTCTAAAAATTCACACCACCACGTTGTGAATCAGCCCGAAATTAATCAAGAGCTGATTCACAACGTGGTGAGGGGATTAAGTCTAATGTAAACTAACCTAATGCAATGGGAGGGGGAACGACGAAACCTTACGTAAACTAACCTAATGGTGGGGAGGGAGAGGATGAAACCCAAGGTTAACTTATTCTAAGAATTTTAACAACGACTACCAGACGCTTAGGTAAGCATATATCCAACATCAAAGGTATCATTATATTATATCGCTCATAATCGTTTGTAATTTTATATGAGAACAATTGTACCGCTGTCTGTGTATTATTAATATTAATTGTACAGCTATAATTTCTAAGAATTTTTTCATCGGCTACCAGACGCTTAGGTAATTATATTTCCATCATCAAAGATATTATATTATAATGCTCATATGCGACTAATTTTGCGCCGCCCTTACCACTTAAATAGCGTCTCACTAATCTCTTTATAAGCCTCCCGTTGTTATCAAAATAAGAAATCGAAAGGTGTGTGTTGGTTATCAGTGAAACAATTAATTTAATATAGCTCCTCCATCAACATTTAAATCAGCGTATCAATCAGTATCTCACTTGATATCACCCTAATATACTGTATCTCATTCAGTCACCCACCTATCGGTGTCGGTGCCGTATGTGAACGGTGGAGAATGAAGCATAGAGGGGTGAAATCCAGCATAAACTAACCTAATACAATGATTAATGGTGGGAGGGTGAGGATGAAACCCAACGTAAACTAACCTATGGCGAGATGTGTGAAAGGTATCCTATCGAGCGTATAAAAGTCTAATACATAAAAACATACACAAGATGATGAAGGTGCCACAATACCATTTGAAACACTCCCTCTCCAAGGTTGGTAGACTTATCAGGTTTTTTTTTTTTTTTACTTTAAATTAGGGTAAACTCTATATTTTAGAGCTTAGTCGATTTTGTATACTTTATGAGTAGTTACATATATTGTGCAAAATAAATTTTATAATCATTAACGTTAGAGTTGTCTACATCATTATTTCTACGGTTTATCTAACTCTTTCGATTTCTTATTTTGATAACAACGGGAGGCTTATAATGAGATTAGTGAGACGCTTTTTAAGTGGTAAGGGCGGCGCAAAATTAGTCGCATATGAGCATTATAATATAATATTTTTGATGATGGAAATATAATTACCTAAGCGTCTGGTAGCCGATGAAAAAATTCTTAGAAATTATAGCTGTACACTTGTTGGTATAGTAAAAAATAAAATGCGTAGGCGTGAAATACCACCAGTGGTGGCATATTTTCTCATAAAATACATACGATAATCATTGTTACTGAACGGTGGTACCTTTGATGTTGGAAATATGCTTACCTAAACGTCTGGTAGTCGTTGTTAAAATTCTTAGAATAAGTTTACCTCGGATTTCATCCTCTCCCTCCCCACCCTTAGGTTAGTTTACATAAGGTTTCGTCGTTCCCCCTCCCATTGCATTAGTTTACGTTAGATTTAATCCCCCCGTACACTTCCTCTACCACCACCCTTAGGATGGTGAGTGGATGAGGTGGGGGAAACCAGTTCTCTCCATTTTACCCTACTTACAATGTTTTTTTTATAAACAAGGCTTATCTCGCATATTTTTTTTTATAATACGGGGGCTTATATTTTTAAAATTTTCAAAAAGTTCTTGCGGATTATATTATGTTTTTCAATGTCAGTAGATGGTAAGGTGCTTATTTTTGAAGGGACTACAACGTGTCCTACGTTATGTTCGAGGAGCTGTAGTCGAAATTGCTATATCGGGACATTCTGTGATAGGTGCATCGGCCTGTTGTTGGACGTGTGAAGGAAGCGACGCGAACGGATTTTTGATGATTTTTAGTCTACTCTTGCTTAAGGGCCTGTTGAGATCGTTTGCTACTACGCGTAAGTCGTCCAACGTACGCGGGCACCGCTTTCTACGTTACTGCAATATTCGGTGCGCAAAGAAGTAACTGTCCGATCATCTATGCAGGGCCTTAACAACTAATTATTGCGCCCGAATAGAACTTCAAATTGTAATTATAAATAAATTAATTTAACATATTAATATTTAGCATGTTATGCGTATAGAAACATAACATTATTTAATATTACCAAATTAAAATTTTTCAAGTTTTTTGCCCACCAAAGTTTTTAATAAGATCGTTTGTATCCAAAATATCTACCAATATATGTTTGATAGATAAAATAGCCAAATTAGATAATCGATCTTTCATACGTTGCCACAGTTATTGTCCAAGTAAAAAATATGCGTAAAGCTACTTCTATGTTTTGATACTTACCATGTAAAGAATATTCTGTAATTAATTGAAGTAGGTCTAAAGGTGCTGCGACTCCTAAGTCGGGTAAAAGAGATAATGCTCAAGACTTAAAATTTTTTATTATTTTAACCTTTCAACTAGTAGTTTTTGTTTTCTGAAAATTTGTTAGTTTTAATAGAAACGTATGACATCAAAACTATTTGATGTCTGCATAAATTATAGGTTAATTAATGTATAATAAGACTAATACAATATGATAAATAATTTAAAACACCTATTAGTTACATCATATAAGTCCCAATTAATTTACACGAATCAATTGATTATAATTCATTCATAACGAAATTAGATGATAAAAAATTACAAATATCCGAAACGTAGAGAGATGTTAGTATTTTCTTGATACATCTTCAAATGAAAACTATTACTTCATGTTTGAAATAATACATTAGTAATATGACAAAATAGTGAGAAAAAAAATTTACATTACATTTATAGTTTTACAGATGAGCATTGAGACGGCAGCGCGATAACGTTGATATTCTCTATTAATTATATACATAGTTAATATATTTTACAGAATCCTTCGATATCCATGTCGATCAATAAAAATATCGAATTCAACAAATTTTTTTTAGTAGAAACATGTTAATTAACACGGCAATGTACAAAAATATCATTATAAGTATTCAACTAAACATAATTTTCGACTTATTACGAAGGTCGTATAACGGGGGGGGATAATTGTATGGTACAGTCGGTATATATGTGTGTGAGCGGGTTGAAGTAGGACGAACCGCGTGTCGATGGCGCGAANCCAATCACCCAAAGTAACAATAAATCTAAAGTTAGAAGTTGTTCGCAACTGTTAAGAACCCCTGAATATTATTTTATAATTGTGTGGAGTATATAATACATGGTCGTCCGACTGTCGTCGAACACAGGAATGTGCTGACCAAGGGTTTTAGGGCAACCATGGGCAAAGGACTCCCACTGTAGGTACCCTACAGTCAGTCGTGGTTTAGTATGCGCTAGTTACACTCATTCTATATCATTCTAAATCATTCTATATCATTCTAAATCATTCTATATCATTCTATATCATTCTATGTCATTATATTTTATTATTCTATTCATTTGTATTAATATTAATAAATAACGTGTATTGTATTATTAATTGTGTCAATCAAATTATATATTCTAAAGTTTTATTGAAAAGTGAGTGTTTTCTTTTTCTCATTAAGTTTAATTCCTTTTACCACGTGGGCCCGCACAACAGCAACACATCAGAGATATCACAATTTTTAATAAAAATTATTCATATTTGGATTTTACACCCTCTGAGATATTGCGCACGTCATGTCATGTCCTTTAAAAACTGTAACCCAATTTTCAATCACAAATCGAATATTGGACCGGGCCAAGAGATTTTCTAGTTAGTCCAGTAACACCCTCGGGTCCTCCTCATATTTTCCCGTAAATTCAGGGGACGAAGGTCGTATAACGGGGGGGATAATTGTATGGTACAGTCGGTATATATGTGTGTGAGCGGGTTGAAGTAGGACGAACCGCGTGTCGATGGCGCGAATGTGTTCGTCCAGAAATACCCCTTGTCATGTGGGCGTGCGTCTATATGAAAAACCGGCTCATGCGTGTTCGCTGGAGGTGTGTAGACGACACGTGTGGTCTGACTGGATAACCGTTGTAAGTTACGCGACTCGTGTGCTTCGATTATTTTAGTAGGGTCATGTTGTCCGGTTCGAAAGTTACGCGACTCTGTTCGGACAGACGCGCGTAATCATCGCGATTTATTCCTACCGGTCCTTGTTATCTGTTGTGCGGTGGTCAACGGATGCCGTACGGTCTCGTCGTTCGCCTCGCGGCTTACAATCCTTTTGAAGAGGAACCGGATTTGCTGCGTAATGTGGGACAATAGTCTCTCTACTTCAGTTATTCGCGATTCCATAGGCGTGTTAAGAGACTTGTCGCGTAAACTTTGTCGTAACGCGGCTATCTCCTACGTTGTGTGGGATATTGAGTACACCGAATACAAATCGTCCGTATAGAGCTACGTTCAAACTACCGTTGAAGCGGCCGGTCACCTGGGACCGCTCGTGTAGAGACTCGTCTTCAGAATCCTCTAGCGCCAAATTAAACGGTTGGTCCATGTGTGTAAGAGGATAGACAGTCTGGTACTTCGTCAACTTGAGACTCGGGTTACATATTCACATGTATAAAAATATATTAAAGGATTGCATTTACAAAATGAAAAAAAATATTACCACAATTATACACATAGTTCTTTGATGAAATGTCATTTCATTTTACATTATATGGTCTAACACTGCTGCTGATTACATAATTTTATTATTTTCAATAATATTTTATTTTTAAATTCATACTTGAAATTTGTTGTATTTGTAAATTTATATTTAAAGTACCACAAGATTTTTTTTACTTTGATAGACTCGGAAAGCACTGAAGATGAAATTATGCATATTATGTTTATCATGTAATCTTATAGAATACGTTAAATTTTTATGTTTTTTTATCAATAATACAAATTAACGTTTAATTTTGTAAAAAAAAAGCTTTTAACAAAAAATTGATTATTACAGAATTTAAAACGTTTTAGTAATTTTACAACAAAATATATTATACTAATAACATATAGTTAATAATTTCATGTATTCTTAAATTTAAATACCGTCGGCGATATAAAATAAATAAAAAAATCTACTATATTTAGATGCAGGTAATGGTAGTGATTCATCAAGTGGTAAGCAAAAATTATTAAAATTAAGTAAATAATATAGCACAATACATAATATTAAGATTGTGTTATACAGTGTATTTTTTTATAAACAATTTGATTAAATAAATTAAGCGAAAAAACCTTATAAAACAACATGTAAACATGAATTTTGTAATGAATGTATGGAAACATGACGAACAAAATAAATTATGAACCCCGGGTGATACTATTTTTATCACTATACGTTTTTTGGTCTCACTTTTCCTCCCGTGGAACTATAAAGTTATTTTAATTACTGACAAAAAAATGATGAATTTTTTTGGTTTTATTAACAGAAACGGATGGCACTAGTTCTGAAAGTAAGGTTTTTCATATAAGTTTTAAATGAAAGAATAAGTTATATTTTTTCACAATAGCACAAATTAACGTTTAATTAAAAAGAAGCAATTAACAAAAAAATTAATTTTTAAAGATTTTAAATCGTTTTAGTAATTTAACAATAAAATGTATTACATTTATAATATTTACATTGAATTCTTGTGATTCCAAAACTTTGGAGACTTCCCCAATAAATCCTATCCNAAATGTTAATATTATAAATTTTATAATATTTACATTGAATTCTTGTGATTCCAAAACTTTGGAGACTTCCCCAATAAATCCTATCCCATTATATTACTCTTTTCTATTGAAACATGAAACTTACCATCAAAAAAATAATCGATTTTAACTTTAATGTAAATTACATTTTATATTGGTTACTATTTAAAATGTTGTGTATATTAGAATGTTGTAAATCATTTTAGTCAAATTTAATACAGATATTTTGATTGAGATTAATAAAATAAAACCAGCAAATATAGATATATAATTAGTAATTCAAGTAGTCTTAAATTTTAATGTTTTTTTAGCGTTTTAAAGTAATAAAAAAAAATCTATTATATTTAGACAGTTGGTGATGATGGTAAGTAAGAAATTATCAACATTAAGTTAAATAGTTAAATATCTTAATAATATCAGTTATTTAAATATTGATAATAATTAATAATATTATGATAGCATTTTGCATTCTGAAATAAAACCCATTTAGTTACTTTTACTGATAAGAACGTAAACTTTGAAAAAAATATCTTGACCTACAGAGGTCATATACTTCTCTTACTCTTAACAAATTTCTGAGAAAAATCAGCAAAACTGTGTGCAGTTTTTCATAATTATTTAATTATCAGTAATGATTTTTTACCAATAAAACACGGATATTTTTAGAAGAAGTAATTGGGATAATATGATTCTCAATAATCTTTATACAATGTATAAATATATAGTAATCCATTTATGTACAAGATATAATATATCATACGAGGTAATTATTTTAATGCTGGCCACTCGATATCTCTTAAACTAATAATTTATTCGTCAATTTTTTCGGATTCTGTAAGTTAAACATGTATTTCCATTAATCGGTTACAAAATAATTTTTATCTCTACTTCTTATATCTTATAGAGATATCAACTTTATTTTAATATAGTCTAAAAGTGAAGCGAGGATGGCACTATTTTTATCATTAGTAATTTCTCGGCCACTCTCCATTTGGCGCCTAGATGCAATATTATAAATATCTTCCAAAGCACAGGTTCAAGTTATTGCCATGAATTTTTTAATTAGATAATTTTCTATTTTGTAAGCTAGTTAAATATGTATAATCCCATCAGACAAAATAAAATTTACATCCTTATAATAACTTTATAAATATCATAAGAGAGATACATAAAAAATATTTTATAACAAATAAATGGAGATTTATACGTATTACATATAATAATATGAGATGCATAACACAAAGAAATTATTATGTCAAAAGAAATTGAATGGGCTGGCGTTAAAAGAATCACCTTGTCTACTATTATATATGGAATGGTTTTGTGAGAATCTGATCAAGCCATAATTTGTCGTTTTTAGGTTACTTAACAATTTAAGAATGAATTAATTATTGTCAATGTGGTTTCCTAAGTAGTTTAGTTATTATTTTATTGTAATTTAAATTTGAATAATCAGATTTAATACCAGGTTAAGGAGTCGCCTGTTTTTCGTTTTCTAAATAATTACCCATTTGGATTTGACTAATATCTCACAAAAACCATTCAAACGTATATAAAATACCGACCGGATAATATTTTTTCCATATTAACTAAATAAACATGTATAACTTAAAATATTATCATTAATTATTAAAATCGGTTTAGTTGTAACACGATGGCGATATAATGTGGTAAGTTTGTTTTTAATATGAAAATATGTTTAAAGAAATTTCTTATTCTTCTAGAAATAAAAATTTAACTATGGAAATATCTTAAAAATACATTTTTCATTCAGAATTATATTTCAAGATTTATCAACAATTAATGGGCAAGGATCAATTTTTTAAAATATTCAGCTCATTATTAAAAAAAAAAAAATCAATTTGTAACATTAAACGAATAAACCTAAATTATCTAATTAAAAAAAATGTTGACCAACAAATTAATACACAATTCTAATATGGATTAATTAATTTGATTTTAAATGAATTGTATATTTATTTATTAAATAATGCACTAATTTAATTATTAAAATTATAAATTTTTGTTTCATAAATATTTTTATAACATATTATCAATCTGCTAATGTTTTATGTATCACATCTATTATAACATTAAAACATTTTGATGGTATTATGTCTACATTTCATATTACTTTACCAAAGATAAGAAATACTATTTGAAAACATACGCCTTCCAATGTGTTAAAATTAATATTAATTAGTTTTTAATAAATAAATAAAATTATATATTATAACCTTTCAATTTTTTTAGCTTCGATGGGAAGCGGAGAAGGTATTAATTTTACTATGATGTGTTTTTTTTTTTATGTCTGTTGCCACTTTTTCTCAGCACTCACTGGACCGATTTCTTTCAAAAATACGTCAAAAGATCACAAATTGTATCTAGTTGAAGACATTACCCTTAAAAATTGAAAAAAATTCCCTCGTTCCCCACAAATGGGGGAAATATCCAAAAAAATTACAAATTTAAAAATCGCTAATTTTCGAAATTTTTTCTCTTTTTTGTGTTAAAACTTCCATAACTTTTAGAAAAATCAACAAATCTACATAACTTTTTTTTATACTAAAACCTTAGATATTTACCTTTCATTTGATATCATTTTTTTGAAAATCTATCACTTAACCTGCTCATTGGGGGAGATTTAAAATAGCAACTTTTTTACAAAAATTAACTTTTTCAACTTAATTTTTGAAAATGTTCCGGAAATACTGCGTCCTTTAAACATATATCAAATTAAAGCTTATTTTATGTACTACTAAATGAAAAAAAAAATTTGTCCCGACGACCTATCTTCTATGCGCAAAAGGCTACCGTATTCAAAAATATGCAATTTTTTTTATTAAAATTCTGGGTTTTATTTTATTTTAAAATATCTTATGAGGGGATTACACTGATTTTCATAAATATTATATCAATCTAAATGACATAGTATAAAAAATTAATCATATTTATGATTTATAGGGTTTTTCTTATTTATAACTTTATTTAAAAAGTTATATGTTAAAAAAATAAAATGATTGGTTGAAATTTAACCGACGATGTGCTGTTTCTGCACAATGTAGTCATGTTTTAATTACAATTAAGGTTAAAGAAATTATTAATTTTTAAAAATTTAAACTACAAATAAATATATATTTAATTATTTATTATTTATTTTTATTATAATGATGACTAAACATGAATAATTACTGTCATAGATTATCATTAACTAAAACAGTTTTATTTATTAGTTATTTATTTAAATAAATACAATTATACATACTTAATATGTAGAATCAGATTTTAAGCTTAAACAATTCTGTAAAAATGGATACAAAATTACCATTTTTGTTTGTAGTTTTACATTTCAACTAGTCAAATTAAACAATAAATAAATTAAAGACGCAGATTATTCAATTAAATCGTATCATAATGAAATTTTGCTCTTTAACCCTCAACCTTATACTCTAACTACCAGATTTATAATATACAGAGTGATTTTTTTATCATAACCCACTTAATTATTTACAGAATAATAATAATTAAAAAATTTTTTTTATTACTATCTTTAGTTACACGTTATTCTTGAATTATTAACTATGTAATACTTTTTAAGTTCATCCCTTATGCCTGGTTATGGTGTCAACTTTGTTTTTTTAAATGGTAACACATATTTTTAATTTAATAAAATGTTTTGTGTTTTTAATTCAATAATAAATGGCATTTGAATTTTTAATGAAACTTAGTTCGTTTATTAGATATAAACATTTTAAGTTTCAAATTTTTGAGTTAATATATAGGTATAATACACAAGGGTTTACAAATACAAGTAGCTAATTGATTTTTTATGATATCGATATTAGCAGGTACACAGCATTGTTATTATCAATGATAGTAAGGTACATTGTTGTGAGTTTATAAATACACTAACTGACAATACAAAAAGTATATCTATTTATAGTCATAATTGATAATAAACAATCCGTGACTGTGATAGCAATATCAAAAAAACCAATTAGCCACCTGTATTTGTAATCCCTTGTGTATTTTACCGATATATTAACTCAAAAATTTGAAACTTTAAATGTTTATATCTAATAAACAAATTAAGTTTCATTAAAAATTCAAATGCCATTTACTATTGAATTAAAAACTCAAACATTTTATTAAATTAAAAATATGTGTTACCATTTAAAAAAACAAAGTTGACACCCTTACCAGGCATAAGGGATGAACTTAAAAAGTATTACATAGTTAATAATTCAAGAATAACGTGTAACTAAAGATAGTAATAAAAAAAAATTTTTAATTATTATTATTCTGTAAATAATTAAGTGGGTTATGATAAAAAAATCACCCTCTATATGAAATTATTTGATTTTCTGTTTCAGTGATATATTTATGAATTAATAATATTAGTATTAAATGTCCAATATGTAAAACTGGGCACGATTTAAAAAGTTAAACTTTATAATTTACAGAGAATTTTATTTGAACTTAATATTTGTTTTGTTCATTTAACGAATAATTAACAAATAATATAAAAAACAAGTAATTCTTTAAATATGATTCTCGTAATATCATTAAAATATAAAATATAATATAGTTATAGTTAAAAAATCACACTTTATAGATAGGATATAGACACTTAATACATTTAAGGGCCTCCGTCAAACTGGCCTTTTCGATATATCGGTCGTCGGAAATTACCCCATGTTGGAATTAATTGCGTTGATATCGGTCGTAGTATGTATTTTTTTCGTTGTTGTGTGCACTTAAGTGTCATTCCATGTGAAATCACCTAATTTGTGTGCTGGTATAGCTCAGAAATTTATGAAATTTATATCATAGACTTCTTAAAGGTCATTAACAACAAAAATAATATATATATATATATTTTTTTTTTATTGTTTTTTACCAAATAGCACATTTTTTATAATTAAAAACATGAAAAACAGCCTATGTTCTAGAGCCTATAACTTCACATCCAAATAAACTACCACTGTGGAACTAGCACCGTTTTACTCATATTAAATGGTACTTCAACTTTATTCTTAAGTTTATAAATTTTTAATTTTAAGTACTATGTAAATTAAATTATGTAAAAAAAAATTTGTTCAGTCACTTTTGTGTAATGAGATGATAAAGCTGGCCATTTTCAGCAAACCACGCATATTCAAGATCGTAAATGGATACAAAAAAAATTATAAATCGATTCAAATATGTTATAGATTAAAAGAACATAACTAAAAGTTTCTGAAAAGAAAAAAAAATTGTAATTAAAAAATGTTTTGACCTTCAAATTTTGTTCCACAATGATAGCTTATTTGGATATGAAGTTATAAGCTCTAGAGCATAGGCTGTTTTTTCATGTTTTTAATTATAAAAAATCCAGCACAGGAATATCACGGCACAGTGGTAACGTGGCATAGTTAGATCAAGCATAATGATATCTTACAGTGATTAAAATCACTATGAAAAAAACGCTTCGATGTAAATCTTTAGATAGTGTTTAATTTTGAAAAATTGGGGGATTATTCCAAAAGCTACATGATCTGCTAGTTCCTTAATAATATCCTGATTAAGATAAAGTATGTCGAATGAAAAAGGGATTATCAAAAAATATTATTTCTCATAAAAAAATTGTGTTGATCCATACACTTTTCAATAAGTTATTGCATTATAAAGTTAAAAATGTAAAAAATAAAATAAAGAATTTTCACACAAAAATAGCATTTGGTAAACATTTTCACAATGAAGACAAAATAAAATCTGAAATTTTTTTTTTCATAATAAAGTATATTACATTAGCTTTAATTTAAGATATATATATAATAGTGTCAGTATTTCCGGAACACTTTCAAAAGTTAAGTTGAAAAGTAAATTTTTTGTAAAAAAGTTGTAATTTTGACCCCCCTATGGGCTGGTAAAGTATACCAAATGGTAAGTAAAGACATCAAGAATCTATAAAAAAAATTATATTGAATTGTTCATTTTTGAAAAAGTAATGGCAGTTTAAAAAAAAAAAATTTCGAATATTAGCGATTTTAAAATTTGTAATTTTTTTGGAAGTTTACCCCATTTACGGAGAACGAGGGAAATTTTTTCAATTTTTGAGAGTAACGTCTTCGACTCAATACGATTTGTGATCTTTTGACGAATCGTTCGGTGAGATCTGAGAAAATGTGGTAACAGATACAAAAAAAAAAACACGTCATAGTAAAACCAATACCTTCTTAGCTCCGCATCAAAGCTAAAATGCATTATCTGGTAAAAAAACAATAAAAAAATATATTATTTTTGTTGTCAATGACCTTTAAGAAGTATATGATTTAAATTTCATAAATTTCTGAACTATACCAGCACACACATTAGGCGATTTCTCATGAAATCACCCTAAAACAATTTTGTGAAATGAAATTATTTCTTTCACGAGTGACCGCAATAACATCATGTAACTTTTTTTTTCGTGATGTTGGCGAAATCAGCTCCCAATTCTTAGTCTTTTGAGACGAGTAATGAAGTTGTGACTGGGGAAACTACGGTCACCTTAGCAAAAATTTTTATATCTCTGTTTCTAAAACTATAAATGTTATGCTATTACAATAAATAAATGCATTAACATATTGACTACATTATGTCAAAGTTTCAGATTTTTAAAACATAAAATATATATATATATTTTATTTTTTTTATTGCAAATGACCGGTATTCACCCTACCCTGGGGGAATATCGGCCATACATAAATATATGCAAAAAAGATAGGGATTTTTAAAAAAAATCACTGAAATATAGTTCATATAAATTATACATATATAATATTTTGCTTATCACAAATTAATTTTTTTTTTAGATAATAAACGCTGAAAACTATTTTCACACATTTAAATGTGAAAACGTTTTTTGATAATATCGTCTTGATAAGAATAAGGTTCTTTTATCATTTTTAACATAGATTAAATACACATAGATAGGCTAATTAGATAATTTGTACCCGTAAAGATAGCGCTATATATCCTCTCGGAAATATTAAATATTTAATTATAACTGTCTAGTTTGCTGATATTCAAGTAATAGTCACGATTATTGATGTACGGCTAACACCGTTAGCGCAAATTAAGATAAGAACCAGTTATTACTAAAAGGCGATTGCTATTTGATTTAAATGAAACTTTTCGTTTTAAATACAAATTCGATAAAACATGTGTTTTTTATTTTATTAATATTGATTTAAATATTAAATTTGACTATTATTTATTTTTTTTAATTTTCTCTGTAGAAAATCTTAACTTATTACATAACAATTTCTCGCTACCGATTTGTCCACTGTCAAGATTTTTATATTATTTGGTGTTTAATTTCTTAACTTACCAGTAATCAAGTCTATAAAAGATATTTATTAATAATTACACATATTATAAGGTTTTCATGTATAAAATTAGTAATTTATTTTTTCAAATATACAATAAAATATTTTAAAAAATACAAATTTTAATAATATATAAATTAAAATATAAAATATAATTTAAAATATAAAAATTTTAAAAACAAATATTTTAGAAAAAAATATTCAAACAAATAAAGCAGTTTTAACCGAAGTTCAGATCACTAAAAATGATAAAATAAGAAGTTAAGATATGTTTTTATCGCAATTAAAAACATACACTTATTTCCTCGTTGTGTACTCATTGTTATAATTATAATTATACAGATAATAATATAAATAAATATATTAAATGGTAATACCACGCAAAAGGGACCTTAGTCTTCAGTACTCCAGTGAAAATATGAATAGTGATTATGAAATAGGGAAGATTTTTTATTTAGTTGGATATTTTTACATTGATAGGTTTTAAAAACAACACAAAAATACAAAATAGGCATGATAATTCGTGTTACAATAAGATGTTAACATAGCTAATACATCCTGTTTTTAATGCAATTCCAAATATAATCCTGGCGCCGAGATATCGTATTATTAAATCGTACTCTTTTACGTGGTCTATAGTACAATTGTTTTACGATCTCTCAAAAAGTGTTAAATTTTATTTTTAATCGTGTTAAATTTGTAGGGTCACATGAATTTATGAAATTGGGCTTGCCAGAATCTATCATTAAAGTAAAAAGGACCCATACTAATTATACAACTGGAATTATATCTTTAGCTATATATATGATCTTATAGTAATTAAGAAAATGTTTTTATTGGACGTTATATAACATAAATCAAAGATAATTATGCAATCATACCGATTTTAACACACATCAGAAAAAGATGTTTCGATTTTTATAAATAATATTAAATTTGATTTTTTACCACAAGATTTCGTGCTCATAAATAATATGTAAATACTATCAATTTTAATAATGTTAATACTAATAATAATAATAATAGATTAACTCTTTTAAATCAAAACCTTAAATTAAATCATTTAAACGGCAAAGAAAAGTCGTCTATTAATAATCTATACAATCAATTTAATGATATATTAATTTTATCCGATGATAAATTATCTTATACTAATCAAATTGTACATAAAATAATTACTCCTAATGCTCATCCAATTAATATAAAACAATTGATACCCTATGTGTCATAACGAGGAAGTTGATAAACAATTAAAAAATCTTTTAAAGCAAGGTAGCATTGAAAAGTCAAATAGTCCATGGAACTCGTCTAGAATTCTAAATTTTATAAAGGAATATATATATTATGTTTTGTCTGTTAATAAATATTTTTTTGATTTGTTTTATACTCTTTTTTTGTTATTTTCATAAAAATTATAAATTAATTGTTCAAAAAAAGAGTTATATAAAAGATTAAATAATCTGAATTATTTTTACCATGTCAGAAATATTTATTAACGATATTTTTTAAAAAGGCACTAGTATAGAATTTACTCAATACCTACAAAAAAGAATGAACCAATAAGTTAATAATTATTTGAGTCATTATGCTATCATAACTATATGCTATGTTAAGTGGAAAAAATGATACATAATAAATGTATTCGTAAAAAATTATAAAGTTATATTTATGAATAAAATGAAATTACACCTTTCAGAAAAGCTAGATACAAAAATAGTGCTTATTATTTAAAAAAAAAAGGAATAATCATGCAAAATCATGTTTGAGTATCATATTACTGGCTTGATAAATTAATTAGATTAGAAACATAATTTTAAGTAAAAATTAAATTAAAAGCAAAGTATCAGATATCTTATTTTAACAAATTTTAAAATTTTATATTTTTCATAATTTCTGAATGTTTAGAATTTATAATACATGATTTCAAAATAGGTTATTTTATGTATTTATGTTATTTAAAATATGTTACATGTTTATATGTATAAAACACTATTAATTATTTATTCTATGTATTATTGTTTTTTATTAGCTTATATCAGTTTGCTGTGTATCCTATTGTGACTCAAATGTGTTATGTATTAAAATTTTTGAAATAATATATTATATATTATTTCTCTTTAAGGGCGATGGTGTCGTGAACCCATAATTATTTTGTATATTTTAGTTTTAAGGAATTTATATGCAACATTATAATTACTATAAAGTATTATAGTATTAATATTTTAATGATTATTTAATGAAAAATGTAAATATAAAAGACGCCTTGACCATCTTCTCAGTGGTCAGTGTTCTATCAGTGAATGTTATATTATAATTAGTTATTACTTTGACTCTTCCCGACAACACTTATCCGCGTTGTCAAATTGGATTTCAAACACCCTGTTTACCACTTATTATTTGGCATCCCTGAAAAATTTGGTTTCAATTGGTTACCACATACGTAGGTAAATTTAATGGGATACTATTCTAAAATAAATGAAATATTTGAAGCGGACTTAATAAAAAGAAAGCCATTTATGCACATCTAATAGTCCATAATAATAATATATTTTATTATTGTAGACTATTAGATGTGATTATTATATATCTTGATATAGTAATACAAATACAAAATAAGTATAATATAAAAGCTTTGTGATATTGGGGCACAGCTCACATGATGATTTTTATCATAAAGATTTTTCAACTCATCCTAATTACAAAGTAATTTATCTGCCACTGCTTTCTGTTTAAAATAATTTATAAAAATATTTAGAGACCAACAGTTTAGTCTTGTACTGTAATACCACATTTTATATCAAAGTCCTGTTAAGGATTCTTAGTATAGTATTAAAAAAAAAAAATAAATAAAATTTCAATGAAAAATAATTACAAAGAGTTAAAATCATAAATAACCTTATATTATGTCATAAAATGCAATTAACGTGCATAACAATAACAGTTTAATTATGTGCATCATACATTCATTTAATAATTATTAAAAATTTAAAATACCACGTATTTTTCAACCAATAGAAGCACTCAAAATTTACGCTATCTATCAGCATAATCGCCTGCGTCCAACGCATCGTTTCCCTGCGTCCATTCATGATAAAAATTTGACTGCCAAAATTGTATACGGCGTGGTCTATCTATGTGTATTTAATCTATGCTTTTAATCTATACATATTGTTTTTATAATTTTAGATGCATGGGTTTATTAGAGGTGACCAGTATTACCCACTGACTATAGTTCCCCCAGTCACCTATAATTTAATTCTTAATGTATTGAGCCATTTTTTTATTTTTCTTAGTGTGTCGTTCTATATGCACATGTTGTAAATTATTTTTTATATTATTGTAAATATCTCTTTTCTTTTTTATGACCTTCAACATGGCAGGCGTGTTACAATATCATCTATCTTGTTTATATATTTTTATATAGTATCTTTAGGTCCCTAACAGTGAATTGACTGTTGAATTAACGTTCGTCCTGTTTTTTATTAAAATTATTTAATTAAGTTATTTGCTACAATTTATTTATTGGATACGATTATTTTACAGGCAATGTAATATGAATTGTGTTACATTTTCCATTCTGTTTTGTATTGCAATTTATATTGCGATGAGTCGTCAAATTGTTTGGCGACTCACGTTTTTAATTTTTCCAAGCACCATAAAAATTACAAATGATTCTGTTGTAGCAAAAAATTAATTCATTTTTTATTATCTTTAAATGTGAATATTAATATTATAATATTTATAAAATTATTTTTTTTTACCATAGGTAATACATAATTTATAGTAAAAACAATACAATATAAACACAACCCTATTGTGTATACACTAAATATTTTAACGTAGAAATTATTAGGAACTATTGTGTATAAATTCAACTACTAAATTAATGTACATTTAAATGTAATTTATTTACCTGAATGACTTTAGGTTGGGTTACTAGATGCTGATTCAGGATACTAAAAAATATATTTATAAATAAACAGTCTTCGATAGTCGCTATTAGCTCAATCGATATATAACTATCATACATCAATATTTTGGTACTAACTTAAAGAAACTTTTAAAATAAAATAAAATTGTTCATTCATTCAACGTGGGCATTAAAAGAGTTATGTAAAATGTATTCTCTCGAAACTTTAAGATACGTACATAGTACATAGATCTACTATGTACAAGGAACATACCATATGGTATTGAAGTGGACACATGTGTCGAAATTAGGTATGATTTTCATCCATGGTAGTAAATTGATAATTAATACTTAAGTATTATTATTTAATTAATAAATATAAAAATTGTGTAATTTTTCTAACAGTTTACTCACCACATCTACTACAGGCTTGTAATGTTCTTTATCATTAATCAAGTATATACATTTTTCACCATTATAATTTTCTAAAACGTCATCTTTTTTAAAAAATTGCCATCCATTTTCATCTGTATATACGTATATTGATGTTTTTAAATATTCAGCTGCCGCAGCTATTTCAGACGATTCAGCATACACCCCTAAAATAGAAAATTATTTTCAAAATTAATTAAAAAGTAGGTCATGGGATTAAATTCGATGAATTAATATTATAAATAAAATTAATACAGCTTATAAGCTGAATTATTATTACCACGACTTATATGTTGTGAAAAGACCATCCAACATCGAATTTATTTCATTACGAAAAATTGAACTTTTAACAATCAACATTTCTATGACCACTTATGTATACAATTTTTTTTTACTAATTTTTTTTATGTGATGATAAAAAAATTTTATTTTGTAGACCAGTATTATTATCAGTATAGAAAAATCTACTACATGAAAAATGAAGTATACGACTTTACACCTACCGTTGCCAACAATATATCTTATGTAATTTCGATAAATTCATTTTTCCATCCTATAGAAGGTACTTCATAAACAAATCATAGTAGGAAACCATAAATAATAAAGAATGGATAGGCTGTTGGTATACATTTAACATAAATTTCTGCAATCCTAGAGAGCAGGTATATCACTGTCACACAAAGGTGCACAATACCATAAGTGTATAGATTACAATTGTAACCATAAATAATATTATTATATGAGTCATAGGAGTAAAAATTAGTTAATAAATTTGTTTATGAAAAAAAAACATGATAATAACATTATTCTCTATTTGGAGATATTATCATGATATTCGTTATTTTTTTTTTTTAATTTAGCACATAAAAATTTTAAAATCGTAAATTTGGCACATTTAGTTTTTTTTTGACATATATGATTTGTTAGTTATCTCTACTAATATAACTCTTAGAGGTATTGTAATTTCTCACTTTTACTGTTCATTTCTTCAATACGTGCCAAACGTTTATCATCACTAATCATTCTTTTATAACTCTTGGATTCTTTCAAGAACTTAAAAAAATTACATAAAAATAAATAAAATATTAAAAAACATGACACTTTACTATTAACTTGAGTATAAATTATTTACATCGACAATTTTTTTACGTAATTTTTTACCAAACTTAATTGAACCAGTTATCCAAAAAGATAGAGCATTGAAAAAACTTCCGTCACTCAAAACTGTTTTCACATCTGTTTTCGGATATGACAGAATTTTATTGTAAATATCATTGGAAGATGTTCTTATAAGCGAAAGTCCCAATTCGTTGCATTTTGATATCTGCCATTGAACATCAACTGGCAAAAAAAGACTTATGGATTCACCATACTACAAAAAAAAAAAAAAACAGTAGCACAGTGGGATCGAGGCACAGTGTGGACGAGGCATAGATGGGACAAGTATAGATGATATCTGACAGTGATTAAAATCACTATCATTAGAAACGCTTCTATGCAAATCTGTAGTGTTCATTTAGAAAAATTGGTGGATTATTCCAATAGCAACATCAACTCTTATTTCTTTAATTATATCCTGATTAGTAGTTCTTTTATTTTAAAATATAATATATGAATAAATACTAATTATAGTTTTTAAATTTAGTATGAAATTGTGAGGCCAGCTATGATGTATGGTTCATAGTGTTGGGCGGTTGATAAGAAAGTAGAGCAGAGAATAAGTGTAGCAGAGATGAGAATGCTTAGTTGGATGAGTGGAGTGACTAGAGAAGATAGGATAAGGAACGAGCATATAAGAGGAAGTATAGGTGTTGCGTCAATCGTGGATAAGATGACAGAAAATAGACTTAGATTGTTTAGTCATGGTATGAGGAAAGAAGAANAATGGTTTGGTCATGTTATAAGGAGAGAAGAATCAGAAGCTGTAAGAACAGTTATAGAATGTTGAATGAAGAAGACCAAAAAAGAGATGGAGGGATGTTATTGAATGTGATTATATCACATTATGAGGACGGCTTATGTAAACGTAGATGATGTGAGAGATCGTGTCAAGTCGTTACATATTAATTCAATTGTAGAAAAAAGTTTCTACAATTGAAATATCCAGAACTGAATTAATTTTAATGATTACTTTAACTAAAAAAAAAAAGTTATTATTTTGAATCCCTCTTGTGGGTAGGTAAAGGGTTAGATTTATAAAAAAAAAAACCAAATGATAGATAAAGACATGCATCTATATAAAAAAAAAATTATACTGATTTGGTCATTTTTGATAAAGTTTAACAGTTAACAAAGTTATAAGTTTTATATACTGTACTAAAAGGAACTTTCATCAGAAGCAAAAATATACTATTCTAAATCAACTTTTCGCGATGTTTTCAAATGTGCAATTAGACTTTTTCTATCACTTCTAAGTTTTAATATTATTAAAAAATAGTTTTTACATATAAAAAAAAATAATTAAGAACAAAAANTATTTACATATAAAAAAAAAATAATTAAGAACAAAATAAAATTGTTTTAAATTAATACTGATTTTGATTTTTAATATGTTAAAATAATGAAAATTACATATTTAACCTATTTTTTTAATCATTAAGTTGATTTTTGTAAATATTTATAATAAAAAAAAAAAATTTGTTTTACCATATTTTTTAGCTCAATTGGCAAGTTTGAAATTGACATCATTAAATAGAAAATTCTATGACAATTAAAAAAATTGTATCGTTAAGATCAATATGCAGTCAGAAAGTTTTATAATTACTATTTATTGTAAATTTATCAGAAAAGCTCAATATTTTTTTGCATTTTTATGGTAATAGATAACTTAAATAGAAGTAATAGTAATAATTTCCTAGTAACTTTTGTTGTTTGAAAAGATTCTACAATTGAAATATTAAGAACTTAATTAATTTAAATGATTTACTTTAACTAAATGAACCAATCAAAACAAAGTTGTTAAAAAGATTTACACAATTGAGCATATAATAAAATTTGATTATAATTGTAAAAATCCATTATTAATTCAGGAGAAACTAACAATCATTTTTTTTAGAAATTATTTATATAGCAACATGTTACCAAAAAAATTGTAATATTATAGTCTAGTAGTAGCACACACAAATAGAGTAAAAAAATAATTAAATTACAAAGTAAAATGATTTAATNAACAAATAGAGTAAAAAAATTAATAAATTACAAAGTAAAATTATTTATTTTTGTAGTTGAATACTGTTATTATATCAAATATAATTCGACAATGAATACTTTAAGAATATTAGAAATTAATGATTTTAATAAATATTTTTAATTATTACCCATAGAATTTAATAAAATTCTTAAAAATGCTAGGTAGCCTGTTCTAAATTCTCGGTAAGATAAAATGGACAACTTAATTATTTTTGTTTCCCACGCTAGAAAATGTATTACCTGTCCTCTTTCTATATTTCACTTTTGAGTTCGATCTATTATTGAAATTAGGTTTTCATGGTACTGATAAACCTAACTCATCCTTTTCAAATAGTTAAGCAATATATTAATTTGATTTTCATTTAAAGACAATAATAATTTCCCTTATTAATTAGATACGTGAATTTTTGAATACATATGATATTTAAGTTATAGATTACGCATACAAATGTATTTTATGAAGTAAAATACTTCAAAAATTGTTTTATTGTAATTGAATAGATCTCAGGATTCTTAAAATACATTTTATGCTTAAATCATTAAAAGCACACCCTGCATATATACAGCCGCTCACGTAAAGTTGGCAACCCACCCCCATTTTTATCCCTATTTCAAAGTTATGTAGAAATTCAAAAATATATAAACTCTTTTCAAGTTAGTTTTGTACCACAGCTCTTTATGTGTATTTTTAAACAATTAAAAACATAAAAATTTGCAACTCAGTTGACCTTGTAAAACATCAAACCAAAATGACAAAAAAATTATATTAACTTTTAGCTTCGATGCGAAGCTGAGAAGGTATTAATTTTACCATGATGTGTTTTTTTTTTTTTTTTTTATTTATTTTTTTTTTTTTTGTGTCTGTCACTACTTTTTCTCAGCTCTCACTGGACCGATTTATTTCAACAATACGTCAAAAGATCAAAAATCGTATCTAGTTGAAGACATTACCCTTAAAAATTGAAAAATTTTCACTCGTTTCCCGCAAATGGGGGAAATATCCAAAAAAATTACAAATTTAAAAATCGCTAATTTTAGAAATTTTTTCTCTTTTTTTTCTTAAAACTTCCATAACTTTTTTAAAAATAAACAAATCAACATAATTTTTTTTTATACTAAAACCTTAGATATTTTCTTACCTTAGATACCTTTTATTTGATATCATTTTTTTGAAAATCTATCACTTAACTTGCTCATTGGGGGGGATTTAAAATAGCAACTTTTTTACAAAAATTAACTTTTTCAACTTAATTTTTGAAAATGTTCCGGAAATACTGCGTCCTTTAAACATATATCAAATTAAAGCTTATTTTATGTACTACTAAATGAAAAAAAAAAATTTGTCCCGACGACCTATCTTCTATGCGCAAAAGGCTACCGTATTTAAAAATATGCTATTTTTTATNATGCGCAAAAGGCTACCGTATTCAAAAATATGCAATGTTTTTTATTAAAATTCTGGGTTTTGTATTTTATTTTATTTTAAAATATCTTATTAGGGGAATAAACTGATAAATAAATAAAATTAATTAAGTTCTGAATATTTCAATTGCAGAATTTTTTTAAACACCAAAACTTATTAGGATATGATTACTATTCTTTCTATTTCAGTTATCTATTACGATAAAAATGCAAAAAAATCGAATTTTTCTTATAAATGTACTGTAAATAGTAATTATAAAATTTCCAGATTGCATATTAATCTTAAAAATTTCATTTTTTTCAATTTAATAATATCAATTTCAAACGTGCAAGTTGAACTATAAGTTATGGTAACAAATTCATTTTTTAGCTTCGATGCGAAGCTGAGAAGGTATTTTTCATTAAAACTTTCACTTTAAAAGACAATAAAAAATAGGTTCAAAATGATTACCTTTAACATATTAAAAATCAAAATCAGTATTAATTTAATACAATTTTTTTTGTTCTTAATTATTTTTTTTTATATGTAAATACTTATTTTTTAATAATAAGTAATAATATTAAAACTTAGAAGTAATAGAAAAAGTTTAATTGCACATTTGAAAACATCACGAAAAGTTTATTTAGAAAAGTATATTTTTTTTCTGATGAAAGTTCCTTTTGTTTAGTGTATTTATTCATAAGTAACAAAATTTTTTTATTAAAAAGTATTGCATAAATTCCTTTAAATTTGTATACGCATTAAAAGTATATGAATATACAACTCCTTTTTATTTTTATAATATCTCCGTAAAAATTACAATATTATATTATTGAATACCACTTTCATACTCAATTTAATTACTGTAATTATTATGTATTCATATATTATAGTTATAAATCGGGGTAAAATTAAGGGAATAAGTGTTATTGTTGTTTTTGAAATAATCTACCAATTTCATTTTTTTCTATTTAATAATATTTATTTCAAACTTGCAAGTTGAGTTAAAAGTTATGGTAATAAATTCATTTTTTTTTTATTAAAACTTTCACTTTAAAGAACAAAAAGAAGTAGGTTCAAAATGATTACTTTTAACATATTAAAAATCAATAATTATTTGAAAATAATGAATTATAAAAATTATATAATATATAATTAAACGAATTACTAATCTGGATATAATTAAGGAAATAGGAGTTGATATTGGGTTGGGTTGGTTACATTTTTAACTTTATAATGCTATAACTCATTGAAAAGTGTACGAATCAACACAATTTTTTTATGAGAAATAATATTTTTTAATAATCCCTTTTTCATTCNAATCAACACAATTTTTTTATGAGAAATAATTTTTTTTAATAAACCCTTTTTCATTCGACATACTTTATCTTAATCGAGATATTAAGGAACCAGCAAATCAAGTAGCTTTTGGAATAAAACACACATTTTTTTAAAATTAAACACTATCTAAAGATTTACATCGAAGCGTTTTTTTCATAGTGATTTTAATCACTGTAAGATATCATTATGCTTGATCTAACTATGCCACGTTACCACTGTGCCGTGATATTCCTGTGCTGAATTTTTTATAATTAAAAACATGAAAAAACAGCCTATGCTCTAGAGCTTATATTTTCATATCCAAATAAGCTATCATTGTGGAACAAAATTTTATTACACCATAATAATTATACACCAATTTCTTAGAATTAAATACTATCTACTAATTTGCATCGAAGCGTTTCTTATGATAGTGATTTTAATCACTGTCAGATTAAATCTATACTGGACCCAACTATGCAACATCCCCACTATGCCGCGACCCCACTGTGCTGGGTTTTTNTGCAACGTCCCCACTATGCCGCGACTCCACTGTGCTGGTTTTTTTTTTAAATTATTTCTAAATGAGAATAAGACTTGGAAACAAAACAAAAAAACATTACTACATAGAAATTTTTAGGAGCTTTGAAATATATTTTTATTTTATTCAGGAAAGTAAAAATTAACAAAGATTATATGATAATAAACACGTATTTCTTTTTTGTTCATTTTACCAAAAATATTGGAAATGGGAAACAATTGTAAAAAGAATAAAAGTGTATATACAAGGCAATTTTTTTATTATAACTCATTCTCACGAATCATTTGTATATTTTTCTCGAATTATCATTTATGTAATACTTTTTAAAATCATCTTTTATAATTTGTAAGGATATCAACTTTGTTTTTCCAAATGAGAATAGATATTTTGAATTAGTTAAAATGTTTAAGGTGTTTTTTTAGTAGTAAATAGCGTTTGAACATAGGCATAATTTAAAAAAAAAAATTTTCTTTATAAATTAACAAATAATTTTCATAATTCTTGGGAGTCTTCAGTGATAAAATCATCCGTATTTTATAGAAAAATACAATTTTTTTTTATTTGTTGGTATCTCAGAAAATATTTTAATATAAAATAAAAATTAAAAAATTGTTAATTAATACTTGACTATTTTTATTTTACTTAATACTTTATTGAACTGACTTATCAAACGCCGAACCAGGATGCAAGAAGTTTGCTCTTAGAGAGAGTATATCATCACAAAACTTAAAAATAATAAAGCTCCAGGAGAAGATGACATAAATCCCGAATTACTCAAAGTAGCAGGAAAAGATATACTTATAGAATTACAATCCTTAATTTGAGAAATATAGCACAAGGAACAGATTACAATGGATTGGAAAACAGGGATAATTTGTCCAATATTCAAAAAAAGGAGACATTATTATAGAATCAATCTACCGCAGAATTTCCTTCTTAGTTACAGCTTATAAAGTCTGACACGACTTACGTCGCAAAAATGTGGTCGACACTGGTTTAGTAGAGACCCGTGGGCCGTTTATTAAATGAGCGACACACATTATTTTAATAAAAATAAACAAACCGAAAAGATAAATACAGTAATAATAATCTTCGCATAATATCGCGGCACTTTCGCTGGCGTCGACGACGCGATATCCGGCGTAATCCTTGAACGGCAAAATGGTTAGCAGCGTTGTAGGCGACGGTGCGCGGGTGCGGTTCGGTTGGTCGGCGTTGTCGCTTTCACAACGGGAGGAAGACTCACGCACCATTTTCGGCAGGTCGTCGTCGGCCGTGCGGCATTTGCTGGACTTTGCACCGTAGCGTATAACACGCGGTGTTGGTCAGTCAAATACTTATAGTAGGGCGACGGCTGATAAAGGTGGCACGAGTCGCGGGGCATCGTGTATAACGAAGCGACGTGGGCCGTGTCAAGTCCTATTGATGGCACTGCTAAGAAGATAAGAAATATATGCGGAAGACATCTTTACAGAGTACCAAACTGGTTTCAGAAAAGGAAAATCTACAACGGATCACATATTCACAATAAGACAGGTAATGGAAAAATTCTATGAATATAATAAAAACCTTCATATTCTTTTTGTAGATTACAAACAAGCATACGACAGTATCGACCGTGAGCAACTTTGGACAACACTAAGAAATTTCGGTATAACAAGGAAAATAGTGAGACTAGTTGAGATCTGTAACCAATAGACATTCTGCAAAGTGCGTTTTATGGGGGAGACCTCCGAAGCGTTTGAATGCAAAACCGGCAGGGAGACGCACTATCTCTGGTACTATTCAATCATGCCCTGGAACAAGTGATAAGGGACATAGATGAAAAACGAGAAATGGAATTGGTTGGGATGAATACTCTTCTAGCATATGCAGATGACTTATTAATTTCTATAAATGAAATTAATAATATTGCAGAAAAATTATTTAAAGCAAGTCCAACATGGGTTTAATAGTTAACGAGGAGAAGAAAAAATATATGATTATGTCAAGACAAGTAACCCCAAAGAGTAATCTCAAGGTATACGGATACTCTTTCGAACAAGTAAAAGAGTTTAAACATTTAGGGGTGAACATTACTGAGAAAAATAACATGCATGATGAAATAAAGACTGATGATGGCTAGCAAAAGCTATTACGCAATGAAAGAGATGTTCATATCGAAGTTATTGTCACGGCGAACGAAGGAAAGGTTATACATAACCTATTTGTACACAAAAGCGACGAATGCATGCAAGACGTAGTCCAGCACAAAGGGTGATCAGGAAAAACTAGCCATCTTCGAAAGGAGAACACTAAGAAGAATTTATGGTTTCGTGTTAAAGTAGACTTAGGAGTACTCGAAAGAAGGAAAAATGAAGATTTACAAAGAATCTATAACAAACCGAACATTTGCAAATTTCTTAGTCACAAAAGACTAGAATGGGCTGGACACGTGTGGCGTGCAGAAGGATGTCTTATAAGAAAAGTGCTCGATGGAAATCTTATCGAGGTCTTCCTATGGATCTTTTCAAGACCCATAGGAAGATTACGTCAAAGATGGTTTAATACCGTGAAGAGAGACTTGACACGAGTGATCCCTACCTATAACATCAATATGACAGTAGAGAGGATGCAATAGAGAGGAATTGTAGAATCGGCATTATATCTAAATGGTCTGTTTCAAGCCTAAGAAGAAGAAGTATTTTTATTTTATAACAAGTGTAACAATTATAAAATTTTAATAATGGTTCACTCACCACATCTATAACAGGCATGTAATGTTCGCTTTCATTAATCAAGTATATACATTTTTCACCATCATCATTTCCAAAAACGTTTATTTTGTTAAAAAAGTGCCATCCATTTTCATCTGTATATACGTATATTGATGTTTTTAAATATTCAGCTGCCGCAGCTATTTCAGACGATTCAGCATACACCGCTAAAATTGAAAATTATTTTAAACAAGTAATACTAAATAGGTTATGAGAATAAATACGATGAATGAACACTATTAATAAAATTACAGCTTATATGTTATGGAAAGACCATCCTGCATGGAATTTATTTCATTACAAAAAATTGAACTTTTAACAATTAACATTTTTTTTTTTTACTATTTTTTTTTATATGATAAAAAAATGTTATTTTGTAGACCAGTGTTATGTCGTAACACAGTAAAGACAAAATCCCGGGTAAACGTGGAAATGTGCAACTATGTGTACGAAGATGAATATGAGGAGGTAGTGCCTGCTGTCTAGGTATTCACGTGCGTGTTGTCGTACAGTAGTCACCGTGCTCGGCTGACACTCCGGGTTAGCTGTGGGTGTCGAAAGGCTGTTGTTATAGGAAGGGAGAATAAGAGTAACACCTAGGTATGAGGTGCAGACGAAGTGCAAGACACAAATACCAGATGTACGCAAAAGGAGCCCAAAGTATGAGGTGCAGACGAAGTGCAAGACACAAACATGGGGCATACCAGATAAGGAGAATAACAAAGTACGAGGTGCAGACGAAGTGCAAGACACAAGTACTTCAAAGAGAGAACGGGGTAGCCGAGTATAAGGTGCAGACGAAGTGCAAGACACAAGTACTTCAAAGAGACAACGGGGCAGCCGAGTATAAGGTGCAGACGAAGTGCAAGACACAAATACTAGGCGTACCAGGTGAGGAAAGATAACAGAGTACGAGGTGCAGACGAAGTGCAAGACACAAGTACTCTGAAATGTCGAGGAAAAGAGTATATAGGTTAGAAAAGGAATAAACAAAGACTTTACTTTAAACAGTAAGCCGGACAGCGACAACCGAGTACTGAGACTGATGAATGACACAAGGCACTGGAGTCGACTGACCNGAGACTGATGAATGACACAAGGCACTGGAGTCGTCTGACCACGATGGTCAGGTCTATTGGGTTTTTATAATAATTACACCTATTGCCGATTTGGCAATAAATATTATTTGTTAATTCACCAGTCTCAGGCAGCGGATGTGCTGTCTGTATTTTATTAAAATAATTCTCACGATTATGAAAACGTGACACCATCACAGTCAGTATCAACATATAGTCATAAGGGTATTTAGTAAATAGGGAGACAGGTAAATTGTTATAAAATATGAGAACAATAGAAACTCGTTTCCTTACTAAATATTTCCATGGAAATAAAAATGGAAACTACATAGGAAAGACTTCGGGATCGTTTGATCGTTTATGGATTACGTTTCATGGCCTATCCAATCATCATTGTCTATGTGGGGAAGGTTTGAAGGGTTTAATTGTTGTATTACATTAATCATGCTTAATAGATAGGACAATTATCTTCATAATATTCGTTTACTATTCTTTTAATAAAGGGATACAAAAATTTAAAAATCGTTAATTTGGTACATAGAAGTTTTTTCTTTGCAACTACGATATGTTAAAGATCTTCTACTAATATAACTATTATATTTATTGTAATTTCTTACTCGAATCGTACATCTCATCAATACGTTCTTGTCGTTTATAATCCACAGTCATTATTTGAAAATTCTTTGAATCAGCCAGAAACTTAAAAAAATTACTTAACAATAAATATGATAACAAACACATGATACTGAACTATTAACTTAGATATAAATTATATACATCGATAATTTTTTTACGTAATTCTTGACCAAACGCATTTGAACCTGTTATCCAATATGATAGTGCATTAAAAAAACAACTTCCGTCTCCTTTAGTTTCAATTAATGATTTCGGAGATTTTAGGTATTTATGGGACATTTCTTTGTTAGATACTCTGATAAAAGGAATATCCAATTCTTGGCACTTTGATTGCTGCCATTTAATATCCACTGGTATAAAAAGACGTATGGGTTCAACATTCTACAAAAAAAAAAAATTATTTTTTATTTTTATTTTTATTCAAATTGTTCTTAAACGAGAATGAAACATATAAACAAAACCAAAATTACACTATAGTAATTTTTAAGAGCTTTAAAATATGTTTTTATATTTTTATGAAAAGTAAAAATTAACAAAAACCACAGGTGTAGTCCGTATTTGTGTACGTATAATCAAATCCTGATTACAAATGTATCAAAGTTGTAAATATGATATGGATATTTTAATATTGCTATCAGTACATATGTGCTTTTATTATTTGTAAATATTTTTTCACTCAATTATCTTTTAAAATAATAGTCTCTCTGTCCTTCTTTTCATCTTATTCATCATTTTTAAACTTTATAAGTCCGATACTTGAATGCGATAAGCACACCACCACATTCACAAGTAATCATTAATAAAGATCAGTCATACCTATTAATATGATAATTAAAAAGACCTGATAAATTATTTTATGTTACATACATCACCAAGTTTCGGTATGAATTAAAAATAAATAATTAAATGAAGCAGTATTAAATTTTAAATAAAACAGCTTGTCTCGAAGACAACAGAAATTTTGATTAAAAACAAATAATACAATGTGGAAAAATTTATTTATTAATATTGATACAGGTGACGAAAGATGAGACGGTTTTTAGAGTGAATGTATAGTTAAATTAGACTTACCGGCTTTTCGCATGACAAAGATGTCTTATCACGAACAACTGAGAAATTTGATGGAAAGTTAGACATTGATTTGTTAAGACAAAAAGAAATATACGGTCTCTTAAATACCAGTTTAACTGGACAAAGGTAACACGGAGATTGCTTACCAAGACGAATAGCTTTAAAATCAATATAATGTTCCATAGACATATTATTTAAAATTATATTTATGCAGAATTATCACTAGTAATTATTGATACAGGTGAATTAACAGTTGACTTAGGTAAGCAATAAACAATTAAATTCCATTTACACCTTTGGCATTCTATAAATTATTGTACAAAGTCAGATAATATATAAGATTAAGAGTTTGATTCCAGAAAAAGCAATCTAGTATCAATATTATCAATATTTGAACGCAAAGTAAGAAAATCACCCACGATTGTATGCAGCTGAGTAGTTAATGCATCAAGACGAAATTTTAGTTCATTAACACATTATTATCCGCTATTATTTTGTCTTCTGAAGATCATAAAACTTCAATAGCTTTGAGAACATCATAGATAAATGGTTTAGATTTAGATGAAGCATTTTGAACAGGTATTAATACAGAAGAAGTACATCTAAGTGTATAGGTGAAGATTTAAAAAAAATTGACAGTGAATAATAAATACTTAACAATAATATTGTCGAGTGATTAAGTCACCAGAAAAATGATGTTGGTAACCTCTTTGGATGATATCAGTGATAGTAGAATGATAATAATATAACCTTACACAAACAACAGCTGAGAATATTTTATTTCAGAATGAATTTGAGCTCAGTAAAAATTTTAATTCAGTACAGTATCAGCTGTTGTACAAGGAACACATTTTAGCTTCGATGCGAAGCTGAGAAGGTATTGGTTTTACTATGATGTGTTTTTTTTATTTTTTTTTTTTTGTGTCTGTTACCACTTTTTCTCAGCTCTCACAGAACGGATTTCTTTCAACGATACGTCAAAAGATCACAAATCGTATCTAGTCGAAGACATTACCTTTCAAAATTGAAAAAATTTCCCTCGTTCCCCGTAAATGGGGGAAACCTCCAAAAAAATTACAAATTTAAAAATCGCTAATTTTCGAAATTTTTTCAATTTTTTTTACTAAAAACTGCCGTAATTTTTTTAAAAATGAACATATCAATATAATTTTTTTTTATATAGATGCTTGATGTCTTTACNCTTTTTCAAAAATGTACATATCAATATAATTTTTTTTTATATAGATGCTTGATGTCCTTATCTATCATTTGGTATATTTTTTTTGTAAATTTGACCTTTTTTCTGCCCACAGGGGGGGATTTAAAATGACAACTTTTTCACAAAAAATTAACTTTTTCAACTTAACTTTTGAAAATGTTCCGGAAGGTCTGACACTTTTATATATATCTTAAATTAANTTTCCGGAAAGTCTGATACTTTTATATATATCTTAAATTAAAGCTAATGTAATGTACTTTAATTTGAAAAAAAAAAATTTGACCTCTGGACTTGTCTTCATGGTGAAAACGGCTACCGAATGCTATTTTTGTGTGAAAATTTTCGATTTTATAATTTACATTTTTTACTTTAAAGTGCTATAACTTTTTAAAAAATGTATGGATCAATACAATTTTTTCATGAGAAGTAGTATTTATATACATCTTTCATTGGATATACTTTTTTTTAAAATCAAACTATTTCCATATATATGGGGTGGCTTAAAATATAAAAAATGCATATAGAAAGTAGAACTTTTTCAACTTAACTTTTGAAAATGTTCCGGAAGGTCTGACACTTTTATATATATCTTAAATTAAAGCTAATGTAATGTACTTTAATTTGAAAAAAAAAAA